TCTCCTCCCGTCGAGGAACACACACCAGAACAGCGGATTGCTGACTTCTGTGTGCCAAGAGGAGTGAGTGTGTGAAAAGCAAGTGTGGGTACTTGCGAGAGGTATTTCCTGTGTGGGCAGGAATGCATATATGGACAAGTCTGTCTTTCTGTTTTTACCAGTAGCGTTCTGTGGACCTAATCACTTTATTTTTTCTCTCTGTGGCCACCAGTGTGCGTTTCTGATTCTGGGTGTAGAGATTGTGTGTCCCTGTGGGTATGACTATGGAACGCTGTGTGTCTGATATGTATAGGCGTTGAGTGGATACTAGATGTGTGGGAAAGTGAGAATGGAAATCTCTGGCCCAGCACAGGCTGAGGGTCTCTGTGTCCACCCCCCATCCCTGCTTCTGGCTGTCTCCATCAGGTCATGGCCGTCTCAGTGGGGAGCCACGCGGGGGTTCTGTCTGCAGCTGGTGGCACAATAGGCAGATGGTAGTAGCTGGGAGGAAGGGGTGAGACCATCCCACAGAAGGACATGTGTGCTCTGGAAACTGCTACAACAGCTGGGCCTGGGGGAAGGGCTCACCCCTGCATGGCTCTGATTTAGGGCTCCCTCAGTCCTTACTTAGCTGGGACGGAGCAGGACGCCTGCGCCTGGGGCCTGGGGCCTGACATCCTGCCTTTTAAAGCACTTCTTGCATCTGGATTCCCAGGTGATGACTCCTCGCTTCGCCTCTGCCTTCCTCTCATCCCCCCAGCAGGCCAGGCAGTTCCCTTCCTGTTTGCTCCCCACGTCTTTCTTTGCTCCATCTCTGCTTCCTCCACTCTGGCTCAGATCCTCATCCCTCCACCTCTGAGGGGTCACTGCACCCTGCCCAGTGGTCTCCCCGCTGTGGGCCTGTCTCCTCCACAGAGCGTGTTTCCACAGGACGTCTCTAACCATACGACCTCCTCCCGCGCACATCCAGGGGCCGGCCAGAGCCTGGAGGCTGAAATCCACGCTCTAGCCTGGCCTCTGCGACCTTCCAGATGGTGTTCTCACGCTGGGTGTGGGGCCCACGGCCCAGGGGGCGTTTCCCATGGTCTCGACTTCCCACCCGTGCCCTTGCTCAAGCGTGGCCTCTGCCTGGAGGTCCCTCCCACCTTCAATATCTGGTTGTTGAAAGCACATCTACCCATCTTTTGAGGTGCCTGGCACATGCCCCTTTCCAGGGAGCTGTTCTGTTTCTCTGTGGTTCATCTGTGACCTCAGCACCTGGTACCACTTGCTCCTGTGTACTTGGTTGAATTTTTCTGATAATCTTTCCCCACTTAGCTGAGGGTTAGTGGCCATAGAGGGACTCAGTAGCTCTCGGAGGCTATTGAAAGAGACTCCCCTCTCCTCCTCCATGAAATGGCATGTGGCCTATTTATTAATAATGAAATGCTGATCTTGACTGAGTCCTTCATACCTCTTGAACAGTGTGGTGAGATAGATAGTCATGTGTTGCCTTTTTTAATCTTCACGATACTGAGAGATAAAAACCTTTGTCATTCCCATTTTACAGATGAGGACATCAAGGCACAGAGAGCTCACTTGTCTATGTCTAAGTGGTTGACTGGGATCAGAGGCCGGCCTGCCTGCCTCTGGAGATCTAACCACTGAGCAGAGGGCTCAGCCCCACAACTAGAATTTCCCCCTTCCCACTCCAGCTGTAAAGCAGGGGAAGTCTGCCTTGGGAAACCCGAGGTCTGAGGGGAGTGGAGCACATTCAGAGCGCCGATTTATGGCTTCTGCGTTCTGAAATTTGGGTTGGGCAACTTGACATTTCTCCCTCCCACCGTCAGCATAGGAGGAAGAGGACGGACCAGAAAGCAGAGCAGGGATCAGGAGACTCCGGTGCTAGCCCCAGATCTAGTCCTTACTAAGTCACGGTCACGATCCCACTCTCTGGGCCTCAATTTCCAAACTTATAGAACAGGTTGCTTTGGATGATGTCCAAGACCATTTCCAGCTCAGGCAATCCATGATGTCCATCTTCAGGCAACTGGATTCGCCACTTGGATCTTCAGTGCCCTCATTAAATGGGGTGATCACCCCTCCACTACCGAAAAGGAAGGAATGGTTATGGAAACTTCCCCGTGGGAGGACTCAGGCAGGGGCTCTTAGCTCTCAGCAAAGCTGGGTCAGTGAATGGGGGAGGGGGGGGTGGGCAGCAGTTCCCACACTGCTCTCCAATGGCAGGAAATGGGTCAGCAGCAATTCCCAAACAGCTGCTCTAGGCCCGGCTTCAAAGGGCAACCCCCTCCCAACCAGCCACTTCCTTCAGAAATTTCCCTGTGGCCCAGAAGCCCAAAGTTGGCACATCCCAGTTTGCCCCAAGGGCAAGTGCAGGGCTCAAGGCCGGAGGGAGCAGGTGGCTCTGGGTGGAGCCTCCGGAGGGGAAGGGAGAAAGCGGGAGACCAGTGGGCCGGCCCGGTGTTTATACAAGCGCTGAGCCTGGAGCCTGCACGGGGCTGCAGGGCTCGGTTCTGTCTGCCGCTAGTGCTGCAACCCGGCCCGTGGCTTCCTCTCCGTAGAGGTGACGGTTGTTTCTGTAACTGAGGGAGGTGAGAATTTCTGAGGCCCCTTCCACATTCAGAACGCTCACAGCCATCCTCCTCTTCTCCCACTCTGAGACAGCGCGGTTTGGGCTTCTGCTTTCTCTTTCCTTTTAGTTTTAATTTAGTCCCCACTTCTCTTCCTTGAACTTTGGCCACAGAAGCGATCTCTGGTACGTTATCAGCCGAGACAGGTGTTTTGGAGGGAGCTGGGTGGGACACTGGAATGGGAGCTCTTAAGGATTCGGACCAACTGGGTCTAACTTTTTACGTCTTTAGCATCGAGCATGCTGCTTGGCACACAGAAGGCATTCAGTAAGCACAAGCTGCATGAACGAAGGAATGAGGTACCTCGGATGCCGAACAGTGGCTGCTCCCCCCTCAGCTCCAAGAAGAAAATGCGGTTTGTTCTGCAGGCCCTGGGTCTTAGTGGGATTGCTGCAAGACTCCCAACTGGCCACAACTCCCTTCACGTTTTTTAAAATTGATTTTGAGAGAGGAAAACATTGATCAGCTGCCTCCTACTGGGGATCGAGACTGCAACCCAGGCACATGCCCTCACCAGCAACCTTTTGGTGCACAGGGACAATGTCCAGCCACCTGAGCCACACTGGCCAGGGCCCTTCACGTTTTTCTTAAATGCCAGGCTAGATGACACGTTTCCTATCCAAGACTCCCCCTGGGTTTCAAGATAAAATCTGGACATACAAGATCCTCTATAGTTGGATGTGAACTAATTTCTAATCTGTTCTACCTAACCCCACAAACCCTGAGGGGCCCCCTCCTCCTCCTGACCAATCCTAGAACACAACCCACCCAACTGGATGAAAACTAAGGGGAACACGTGGGAAATTAGCAGGATGTCGTCTGGCTCCGGGCTCCGCTGGAGCTCACCTCACTCCCGGTGTCCAGGAATTCTGGGTCCCTAGTTTCTCCACCGTGTTCCCCTCAGCCCCCTGGGTCTATTTCCTCAGGTCCTGTCACCCTTTCCTGTCCACTCCCAGTCTATTTTCCCCTCTGTACATATTTTAAGCAAATTTCATATTTGTCTTTGGATGCCTGTGATCTGCAGCTGACTTGTGAGAACAAAGCTCAGAAAACATCTTGGGATCCCCTCTCAGCTCCTGCAATGGGGCCTGGCCCAGGGCGGTGGCGAGGTGACTCCAAGCCAGGCAGGACTGCACTCGACTCTCCTGTGTACCAGGTTTCACCTCCCAAAGGCTGCGAGATGAGCAGAACTGGGAGCCTATCTTACAGACAAGGAAATCGAGGCTGAGATGACAGACTCCACAGCTCTTACCCAGTTTGTTATCTTTTGGCAACAGTTAAGTTAAGTTGGGTAAATACCCAAAAAAGCTCAGCTGACTCTCATGGGGTTCGGGCTCCCCATAGGGCAGGAGGCAGGAAGTGGAGAAACACAAGGTAAATCGTCTTCCTTTCACTCATTTTGTCACAGATGAAGAGAAGGGTCTTTTAACTGTCGTGTGCAAACCGTCATTGTACAGATGAAGAAACTAAGGCCTAGTGCGGGCTCGGCTGGTCCAAGGTCACATGGAGAGGGAGGGACAAGGCCAGGCCCAGCAAGTCTCCCAATACCCACGGTCCCTGCACAGCTACTACAATCAACACACAGTGAACCTCCAGGACAGGTCAGGACGGCGGGGACAGGGAGCAGAGCCCTCCACCGGCAGGCACCGTCACGCCATGTCAGCGGACAACGTTAGATCCCCATCTCAGAGGCAGAGCTGGGGGAAGGGAGACAGAGAAACTGCAGTTGATTCTACGGCTTATCAGTGATCTTCACAAAGTGGAAACTTTCCACGGGCCTCCCCAGATCATGATCACATCTGGTGCCCTTGAAGAGTTCAAAAGAGGAAGTTTGTTTGGTTGTAATGGACGAAGAGCACACAACACAGACAAACGTCCAAGCAGCAGGAGGAGAGGGGCCCAAGACCCAGAGCTCAAACTCTCTTTTGGGGTCCCCAGGAGAGGATGCAGACAGAACCAGCTCCCAGGCAGGCCCAGGGAGGACAATCCAGCCTGCAGGGTGCAGGTGACATACACAGACCCTCACTGGAAATGGGTTTATGTGTGTCTTTTATTTAGAGACGTGTAAAGAGAATGATTTGGAGGCCCATCCTAGACTGTCAATATCAGAAGAAACGCCAAGATCTTCCTGTCCAACCCTCTCCTTTTCCAGCTGAGAAAACAGAATAGAGAGGGGGAAGAGATGGGCCCAGGTCAGAAAGCCAGTGTGTGGCTGATGCCACGGAACCCAGGTATCCGCACTGCTGGTCCAGGGCTCTAGCACAGCCACTGGATGGAGGGGCTGGAATGGCGGCAGGATTGTCGGCTGGCCCCCCTGTCCCCCCACCGAGAACACTCAACCGGCCCGTCACCACACCCCACTGTTCAAAGCACACACGGTACTCATTTCATAGACAGAGGCTCAGTATGTTTCTGGATTTGACAATGCCCAAACCAGGCAGGGCTGTGGCAGGGACAGAGGTGCCAGGAGGATGGGCAGTGGAGGTGGACGGAATCTATGGCTACGGTCCTCCAGCCGCTCAGATTAAGGGGTGACCAGCTGGGCCTTCAGTGGCCACTGGGAGTGGGAGCCTTTCCTAAACCCCGGTTGACGACAAGAGCCCCCCGCCCCCCGCCCCCCCCCCCCCCTAGTCTCTGAAGCTGGAGCAATCAGGCTGGGTCATGGTGGCTGGTGCCGATGACCATTTCTCGGCTGAGGTGTCCGCCAAGGCCGGCAGCCCTAGTCCTCGCCACCACAGAGAGCCAACAAGGCCTTCATGAAGTCTCCGGAGGTGTCGCCCTGGCAGAAGAAGAGGGAGAGCTGGGTAAGTGAAAACAATCCTGATGACCTCAATGCCCCACCCCACAGCAGCCCAAGTTCCAGGAGTAGTCTGTGCACGTACAAATATGTGTATGTATATAACCTCCCCTTCCTACACAAAAATGGACATGTGACAGTCACACTATTCTGGACCATACGTTTTTTAATTAAGAGAAGATCCCAAACCAGCACAGAGAGCCTCCTTGTGCTTTTTCATGGCTGTATCGTATTCTACCACAGGGATATACACCACTCAACCAATCCTGTAAGGAAGGCTTCCACTCTTGCTACTACAAAAAATGCTGACATACATACTCCCTTCCATGCCTTTGGGAATAGGTATAGCTCTATCTATAGGATAAACAGAACTATCAAGTCCAAAATGTACACATCTTAAATTTTAAAATCTCTAAACTCCCCTTTAGAGATGTACTACCAAGTTACCTCCCCACCAAGTCTGTGAATCTGCCTGTGAGATTTCCCAGTCTTGTCAACCACGTACAGTATCAAACTAAGATCTTGGCTAGCCTCTACGACAAGAACATGGGTCCCATGGTGAAAACAGTCAGACACAGTGCCCTGGCTGGTTTTGCTCAGGAGTTAAAGCATCAGCCCTGGACCGAAGAGTCACAAGTTCGATTCTGGTCAAGGGCATGTGCCTGGGTTGTGAGTTCGATCCCCAGCCCCAGTCAGGGGTCGTGTGGGAGGCAATCAATTGATGTTTCTCCCTCTCCCTCCCTCCATCCCTTCCAGTCTAAAAAGTATCAATGGAAAAATATCCTTGGGTGAGGATTAACAACAACAAAAAGACAGATACAAAAGGGTCCCATATTACATGATTCCATTTATATGAAATACCTGAAAAAGGGAAACCTACAGAGACAGAAAGTCACCTGATGGTTGCCTAGGGCTGGGGGTGGACATAGGTAAACAGGTACAAGGATCAGAGCAGGGTGATAGAAAGTTTTTTTTTTTTTTATCCTCACCCAAGGACATTTTTGCATTTATCTTCAGATAGAGCAGGAGGGAGAAAGGGGGGAAGAGAAAGAGAGAAACATCGATGTGAGAGAGACACACACGACCCCAACAGGGGCCGGGGACAAACTGCAACCGAGGTACATGCCCTTTGCGGGAACTGAACCTGGGACTCTCTGGTCCGCGGGCCGATGCTCTAACAGCTGAGCAAAATCGGCCAGGGCTGGAAATGTTTTAAACTGGATTGTGGCGATGGCTAAACCACTTATTACATTTACTAACATTTAAAAAATGATACCCTCGCCCTGGCCAGTTTGGTTCAGCGGTTAGAGCATCGGCCTGCGGTCCCGAGAGACCTGGGTTCGGTTCCCGCTAAGGGCATGTACCTCGGTTGCAGTTTGTCCCTGGCCCTGGTTGGTCGTGCGGGTGGCAGCCACTCGATGTGTCCCTTTCACATCGATGTTTCTCTCTCTCTCTGTTCCTCTCTCTCCCTCCCACTCTGTTTGAACAAAAAATGGAAAAAATGTCCTCAGGTGAGGATAAAAAAAAAAAAAAAAAAAAAAGATACCCTCAAACAGGGGCATTTGATGGTATGTAAATTATACTTCAATAAAAAATTTTAAAAAGCAAAAAGAAAGGCTCTTGTTTTATTTGGAAATCTTTAATTATAAACCTTTGATCCATCTGGAATTCATTTTGGTATAAACAATGAGGCAGGTCTTTCATTTAGCAACATCCTGGCTGTCCTAGGAGGTAAGTCACTGAGAAAAAGACTGGGGATGAAAGGGACTGGGGATCTCATGTTGACCCCCTTCCCCACTGACCTCTGGCCCCACCCCTCACCTCAATCACGTGGTGCAGCGACTTGTCGTATTTCTCAATGAACTCCCGCCGGATGTTGAGCAGGTCGATCTCACTCCTGGAGACCATGATCCTGGTGAGGGTCTTCTCGTCCGTGCCGGCACCCTGGTGGAGCCGGCGGGAGGGAAACAGGGCCAAGTCAGGCAAGGACTAGTGGGTGACTGTCTGTCTCTCCCCCTTTTCCCTCCCAAACCAGGGTGGGACATTCTGCCTCTGTCTGCAGAAGTAGCCCTGACCCAAACTCCCTGGGCCTAGGACTAGCCAGAGAGGCAAAAATATTAGCTGGTATGAGTTGAAGAGCTTACACCCCAAATTCAGGACCACCTGAAACCTTACAATGAGACCTGATGTGGAAATAGGGTCTTTGCACGTGTAATTAGTTGAGGTCCTACTAGATTAGGGTTGGCCCTAGATGCAACCACTGGTGTCCTTATAAGAGGACACATGCACACGCACACAGAGAAGGCAGGTGAAGACAAAGGCAGGGACTAGAGGGATTCATCCACGAGCCAAGACACACCAGGGTTCCTGGCAACCACCAGAAGCTAGAGAGACGGGCGAGTTTCTCCCTTGGGCCCTCCACAGGGAACCACTCCTACCAATACCTTCACTTTGCACTTCCGGTCCCTAGAACCATGAGAATAAAGCCTGTGGCCACTCAGTTTGTGGTCATTTGTTATAGCAGCCCTGGAAAACTAATGCAGGGCACAAGGAGCAGGCACAGGACAGGGAGTGTGTGGGCAGCCAGGGCCCACCTCTGCCCCCAGGGAGCTCGATCGCCACCTGAGGCGTGGGAGCGGGCACACGTAAGTGCTCGATAAATGGCTGTCACACGCAGCTCGCTCCACTACACAGCCTCCCCGGGCTGTCAGAGCTGAGACCACCTGCGGGGCTGAGAGGGAGGCCAGCAGGGCCTGGGTTTTTGGGAAGCCAGGGCCAGTCCCAGAGCTGAGCACTTGCTGCCTTCTGTGATCATCTGTCACAGGAGGTCCTGGGTCACCTGCTAGAATGTAAGCCCGGAGAGGGCACTGTGCCCCTCTCACTCAGCCCAGTGTCCCCAGAGAAGTTTCTCAACCTTGGCCTTTGGCCCAGATCATCTCTCGTTGTGGGGATCTTTCCTGTACGGTGGGGGCTGTTAGCAGAATCCCTGCCCTCTACCCACCAGGTGCAAGCAGCCGTCATTCCCCACGCGGTGACAACCCAAACATGTCAGAACATGGCCAAATGTCCCCTGGGGGGAACGTCACCCCAGCCCCCAGCTGAGAACTGCAGTCCTAGAGCCAGACACAGGGCAGACGCTGCTAAACATCAGATGGGGATACAGCTGCCACAGTCCTGATGTGGGGGATGGGGAACGTGCTGAACGAGCAAGATCTTACCTTCATGGACTTATAAAGTTTGTCAGCAAAGAAGAGAGGCTTGTTCTTGACACTCTGAACTGGAAGGAAGGGGGCAGATGCAGGAACTTGTTCAGAGGCGCTGGGCCCAGTCTCTGGGTAGGGCTTTCTTCTCCCACCTCCTCTCCCCCCAGCCTGGGCCTCCAGGTCACTGCCAACCCCAGGGTCGTGCTCCGGGCCCGACACACCCACTCCCCCTTCCGAGGCCGCTCTTCCGGCTCATCCCTAGGCCTGGCTCTCACTGGCTGCCATGCAGCTGCTCAGGTGCTTGTAGCTAACCCAAGGGTTGTAGAGGGCTCAGAGGGAAGAAAGCTTCATGAACCCAGGCCCGGGCCTCAAACTTCTAAGTGCATCGGAACCACTGGGGAACTTGTTTAAAACCCAGGCGTTAGGCTCCACCGTAAGGACTCAGGTTCAAGGAGCATCTCGAGAACCAGTTCTCCGAGAGTGGCTCCTGGAGAGCTGCACCTGCATCACCTGGGGACCAGGCAGAGATGCAGATCCTCAGGCCCCACCCCAGGTGTGCTGACGCTGCAACTCTGAAGGTGGGGACCAACTCGTCCCACTTTGCTGGCACAGCCATCTTAGCACAAATCAGGACGGTCAGCAGCCCCGCTCACCCCCACCCGAGACAACGTGTCTGGCTGTACCAACCCAGCCTTTTCTCAAGGCCTGGGGGCCTCTGGCCCGCAGCAGGGCCCACACGGGTATCTCAGCTCAAGGAGGAGGAATCAGACACCAGTCCCAGAAAGCCAGTGACTGGATAAAATTATTTCTGTAAGGAGGGCAGGGGGCAAAAGGCTGGAGCTGTGCACCCCGAGGTCACAGTGACTCAGGGACAACCATGCACTCGCCCCGGCGACAGGCTCAGGGACCCATGGGGAGACCGCGTCATACTTTCCAAGCTCTGCAGTAGTTCCCTGCCACCTTCCACACCAGCCAAGCTCCTCGCCTGGAAGTCAAAGCTCCTCCCTCCCTCTGCTCTCTCCTCGCCTTTGTTCCCCGGCTCTCCGCACACACTGTGAATTTCTTTGTGGCTCTGTCCTCTTGGTACGGAGTTTCCCCTGTGCCCTCCACTACTTTACCTCCCCACCCTCCTGCAAGGCTGTGCTTGACATGCACACCCCATTGTGTCACCCCAAGAAGCCTGCCCTGACTCCGGGCTCAGGGCTCAGTCGACTGGTTAAGGAGTAGACTGGGCAGAAACCTCCATCCTCTGCAATCAAGCCCAACACCTGAAGCCTGCTCACTCACCTCAGAAGACCCTGGGCCTGCCACGGATGAGTGATGTGGAGTGGGGTACGTGTGTGAGTGTGCGCCCACGCGTGCATGTACACAACCCGGTTCTGCAGGGCACTGTGCCCCCACCCAGCCCTGCTAGCCCCCCCTGGTCTCTTTCCCGGGAGAGCTGTTCTCTTCCTGACCTGCAGCCTGGAACAAGTCCTCAGGCTGCCCCACCGAGCACACGGTGGCAGGACCCCTGGAGCCAGGAAGTGGCAGTGTTGATTTTCTAGTCCCGGTTGTCTAGGAAGCTGCCACAGCCACTTGTTCAGGGAATCTGGCCATGTTCCCAATGTCCTTAGTCCTTGCCCTTGACCTCTAACCCCTTCCCATGGTCCCCGCCAGTTACCAATGGCCACAAACGCATCCTTGACATCCCCAGACATCTCCTTCTTGATGACATGCTCCACGTCATAGTTGGTCATCTTGATGAACTCCTGAAAGACTGGCCCCAAGAGAAGCCCCAGAGGTGGGGGTGAGCTTCAGATAGAAGGGAGGGGGGAGATCACCCCTCCCCCACCCACCCAGCTCCGCCCACAGGCACAGGGAAAGAGGGAAGAGGCAGCAGGTAAGGCTGTGTCCAGGGACACAATCGAGGGAGGGAAGTTCTGACTTCAGGCTACCTTGGGCTCAGAGCCACACTGTGTCAAGTCAGACACTGTCCCAGAGCTTTGGACAAGTCCCAGTCATGGCTCTGCCCCCAAACTCACTGAGTGACCTCGGAGGACCCACTGTCCATTCTTGGGCCTCCCCGTCCTCCTGTGCCATCCTAATGATAACACTGAGCAAGTTACTGTGTGCTGGGCATTGTGCTAAGTTCCTTTTGTGAATTATAACTTTTATATCCTCTCAACAATGTGCAGCAGAACTAAAGTCCCAGTTTACAGCTAAGGGAATTAGGACACAGATATTCACTAACTTGCCTAAGGCCCCAGGGCTGGTAAGTGGGAGACCTGAATCAAGGCAGTCCAGCTCCTAGGTTTGTTCTTTTAGACACCATGCCAAAGTACTAAGTATTTTTACTAAAAAGTGCCAGGCAAATGCATGTTAAAATGTGAAGGTCTTATGGGAAGGACACTTCACGATCACTTGTCAGGGCCTCTGCACAGAGGAGCGCCCTGCACATGTGGCAGCCTGAGGCTCAGAGAAGAGTGTGTGGTCCTGACGTCATCGGCACCCTCACTGCCTTGCTCCTGGCGGACATCACCGCTGGACCAGGACACAGAACCTCCGAATCCTTCGCGGCACAGAGCAGGCGGCCACTACCAGTCCATCAGGTTGGCTGGCCTTGGAGGCAAAAGGCACCTGCTTTCCCTTGTCTCTGGCACCCTGCCTGCTTCCCTAAGGGGGCGAAGGGAGTCGGCCCAAGGCTGAACGACACCAGGACTAGACCCCAGGGCTCCCAAGGCCCCATCAGCCACCGTACTCCGTTGCTGGGTAAGGAGTGTGGGGGGTACAATCGGCTCCTCTTGTCACAGAGAGCTGAGTGGTTCTCAGCCGACTCGAGGGTCTTCCTGCTGAATCGGAAGGGGGAGGGGTGAGCCTCACCTCTCCGGAGGTGCGGGTAGCTACGTGTACACAGGATCATCATGAAACGCGTCTCCAGGGAAGTTTTGTCTCCACTGCTGGACGTGTCTGCTATTTCCTGCAAAGCCCAGGTGGGGGCAAGGATTTGGGAGGAAGACACGGAAAGCCTTGGTTATTCTCATTCTCACGTCTTTGCTCTGGCCGAGGGCAGGTAGAAGTTGGGCTAACCCAGCCACCAAGGACACTGACGCTGGCCCCTCTTCCTTCCTCAACCCCTCCAGTCCCCAGCAGGCCTGGGGACTGACACTCAGGGACTAAGCCTCAGGGAAGCGTGTCTGTGCACACGGGCAGGGAAAAATGGCCTAGCCAGTGTTTCCCCAAGTGTCAGGAATGTCAAACACACTTTAGCACACCACATCTGTGTTTCCACAATGACCTTCTAGCCAGCTACTAGCTCTATTTACACTGACTTTATATTTCCCTTTAAAATAATACTTTCAGCCTGGCTGCTGTGGCTCAGTGGTTGAGTGTCAACCTCCGCAACAAGAGGTTGCTGGTTCAATTCTCAGTCAGGGCACGTGCTGGGGTTGCAGGCTTGGTCCCTGGTAGGGGGTGTGCAGGAAGCAGCTGATCAGTATTGATGTTTCTATCTCTCTCCCCCTCTCCCTTTCTCTCTAAAAAAATCAACTGAAAAAAACATTTAAAATAACTGCTTTCAGATTTTTTTTTTAAAAAAAGAGTCTATTTAAAGAAAAATACGCATAGCTCATGGTACACAGGGGGAAGTGAACGGCTAAAGCTTGGGAAACACTTGCCTGGCCCATTTTTTACCCAAAGGAGAGAGAGAAGCTGCGAGACAAACCCTCACACCGCCTGGCTCTGCCCCGCTCAGCCCCGCGCCCAGCCAGAACCAGCCTTTGGTCAGAGACCTTAAAACCCACGGGGAGACCATGACACTCACCAAGATCTCAGCCGCCACCTGGGAGCAGGGAGGAGAGAAGGGGAGGCAAGAGTCAGAGGAGGCCGGGAGAGGGTGGCTCTGGGGGCCTGGGGTGCAGGGGGAGGGGGCCTGGCTCAGGGTGGCCGAGGTCCGGAGAGGCCCCAAGGGGACTTGGGACCACAATGGGATCGGGGAGGAGAGAAACACCTTTCCCTAATCTTTGGGCTGAAGCTCAGAATGGAGATAGGCCTGGAAATTAATTACAAACATGTCCACCGAGGGGTAAGGGAGGACACAGAACAGGGCACTGCACCCGTCGTCACCCCGGAAGACCTAGGGTGACTCCAGACCTAGTGTGCTCATCCCCAAGGCCCCAGGGAAGTCAGAGTGTGAGAAGTGCCGAGTTCTCTCCACCCTTCACCACATTCAGAGTAGGAGGGTCCTCGGAGACCTGTCACTCGACCCCCGCAAGTGACAGACAGCAGAGGTAGGACAGCTGAGGCCTGGAGGAGGGGACTTACAGAAGGCACAGGGTCAATCAGGTGGGAAAATGCTAGTTGTTCAGTCATTTTACAAGGGTCAGTGCTGATTGCTGCTTGATGCCCAGCACAAAATTCTGATGTTAGGGCAAGATTTTGTCAGGTGAGCACTGGACCCGGAGTGCCTGGGGACAAAATCTAGCCAGCCCTAGACTAAGTTGTGCCTTTGTCCCCAAAACTCTGCTGACCACTTTAATCTACCGGACCAAAACCATCCTCTTCATAAACTTCCCAATAGCTTTGTTTTAGAAAACGTCTTCTCATTTTAGAAGTTGGTGATGTCTATCAAAATTTAAAATGCACATGCCATTTGATCAAGCAATTAATTGTGTAGCTAGGACTTCGCCTTACAGATCAACTGGCAAAGTCTTCAGCGATCTGACGCAAGGCTGTTCACTGCGGCTGTCTTTGCAAAAGAGAAAAACTAGAAACATTAATAGATGACTTATTAACACATTTTTGACTGCTCAAGAGTTAACTCGTGTTTTCCTGCCCAAACGTTGCAGACCGTGCATGAGTTAACTTGGGTTTGCACTTGCATTAGCTATTTCAGTTTTTGAAACTCAGGGTAATGTAGGATTATGCATTTGTGACTCTTCGCCCTGAGGGTCGAAGTTCGAAAAACAGCACACCGTTCTATATTCTTGAAGTAGCTAGGGAATGGGTATCTGCTGGTTCAAAGGAGTGCAGCTCAGAACCTATCGTGCAGTTTGCCCAAAAACGTGCGGTCCTTGGCGTATGTCTTAGAGATCTCTATGCGGTACACAATGTGTTAAACAGGCCACACGCGTGGTTTGTCCAATCCAAAAAATGAAATCCACACGGCTATCACAAAGAATGAGAGTGGTCTGCAGTGCTGATAAGGAGTTCCCATGTAAATTAAACAAAAAAGTAAAGTGTAGCATAACAGTGTATCATTGTGTTTTATTTGGCTAAGAGATGAACATACACTCGTTCCTATATACTTACTGGAAAGTCACGCTAAAGGGACAGTCAAGATGTTGACAGTGGTTACCTTTAGGAGGACCATGGGGGAGAGCTTTTGCATTTTATTTTACTTTCCCTGAAATTTTATGTTTATGTTTAGATTTTCTCAACATGTTACTTTTATTTTTTTTATTTTAATGTCAAATCAGAGTTATCAGGGCTACTGGGATTTGGGGATGCTTCTGGTTTTTATTTATATTTTTCTACATTAGAAACAACCTAGCTGACCTTGAGGACATCAAGCTAAGTGAAGAAAGACAAGCACTGGATAACGACTGTATGAGGGACCTAGCGGAGTCAGATTCAGAGACAGGAAGTAGAATAGTGGTGGCAGGGGCCGGGGAGAGGGAAAAGGGCAGTTATTATTTAATGGGCACAGAGTTTCGTTTTTACAAGACAGAGAGTTCAGTGGATGGATGGTGGTGATGGTTGCACAACGACTTGAATGTACTTAATGTCACTGAATTGTACACTTAAAACTGGTTAAGATGGTAAATGTTATGCTATGCATATTTTTATGTGTTATGTACATTTTACCACAATTAAAAAAAATTATGCTAAAAATACCCAGTATTTTTTTTAAAAAGAGGGAAAAGTTTAAGAAATTAAACAAAAAAAATGCCTGGCCGGAGTGGCTCAGTGGATTGAGCGTCGACTGAAAGGTCTCGGCTCAATTCCAGGTCAGGCACATGCCTGGGCTTTGGGCTCGATGCCCAGTGGGGGGCATGCAGGAGGCAGTCAAATGATGTTTCTCTCTCTCCCTCCATCTCTAAAAACTCAACAAAAACATATTTAAAAAAAGGAAAGAATTTAGGTGTCACCCTGGCCAGTTTGGCTCACCGGTAGAGCGTCAGCCCTCAGACCAAAGAGTCGTGGGTTCGATTCCAGCCAAGAGCATGTACCTCAGTTGTGGTTCGTCCCTGACCCTGGTCGGGGTCATGTGGGAGGCAACCAGTCTATGTGTCCCTCCCATGTTAATGTTTCTCTCTCTCTCCCTTTCTGTCCCTCTCTCCCCCTCCCACTCTGTCTGAAGATAAACAGAAAAATATCCTCAGATAAGAATTTAAAAAAAAAAAGAATTAAGGTGTCAAACATTCTTCATTTATTTGGGTCAGAGATTCCCCAGACATAGGTTTCTTCAAAGCACCTTTAAGACAATAATATTTGTAATATGAAAAATGCAGTGGGTTAGCAGAATAGTTTTCCAGAGAGTCAACACAAAAGCTTTTCCTTATTAGCTGAGCTACTTCATGCAAAAATTTATTGGGCCCTGGCCAGTTTGGCTCAGCGGTTAGAGCGTCGGCCTGCGGTCCGGAGAGACCCGGGTTCGGTTCCCGCTAAGGGCATGTACTTCGGTTGCAGTTTGTCCCCGGCCCTGGTTGGTCGTGTGGGTGGCAGCCACTCGATGTGTCCCTTCACGTCGATGTTTCTCTCTCTGTCTCCCTTCCTCTCTCTCCCTCCCACTCTATCTGTACAAAAAATGGAAAAATATCCTCGGGTGAGGATAAAAAAAAAAAAAAAAATTTTTATTGGGGCTGTTCCTCCAAAATTCAAATGCAGTTACCTACTCCTAGATATACACCTAAAAGAAACAAAAACATATGTGTACACACAAATTTGTACACAAATGTTTATAGCAGGCAGCATTATTTGTAATACCCCCAAAGTGGAAACAACCCAAATGTCTATTGGCTGATAAATGGATTTTTAAAAAGTGATATAGTCATACAATGAAATATTATTTGGCAATGGAGAGGAATAAAGAAATGTATATGGTATAAATGGGATGAATTTTGAAAATATTATACTAAGTGAAAGAAACCAGTCACAGAAGGCCACATACTACATGACTCCGTTTGTATAAAATGCCCAGAATAGGCAAATCTAGAGAGCTGGAAAGTAGATTCGTGGTGCGGAGGGCTGGAGGGCTGGGAGGAAATGAGGAGTAACTGTAATATGTGCAGGGTTTCTTTGGGGATGATGAAATGTTCTAAAGTGAGTGTTGCGCAAGGCTGTGAAGACACTAAAAAGTACTTAAGTGTACATTTTAAATGGGTCAATGTATGGTTTATGAATGACATTTCAATAAAGCTGTTACATTAAAAATAACAACTTGGGGAATGAGGTATCTAAAACTGGCCACAATTGTTCATTTCGATCTGGGTCTATAGCTAGATTATCTATATTATTATTATTATTATTATTTTTAATCCTCACCTGAGGATATTTTTCCATTTATTTGCAAACAAAGTGGGAGGGAGAGATAGAGAGAAAGAAACATTGATGTGAGAGAGACACATTAATTGGCTGCCTCCCACAAGACCCGACCAGGGCCGGGGATGAACTGCAACCAAGGTACGTGCCCTTGACTGGAATCGAACCCAGGACTCTTTGGTCCATGGGCCGAAGCTCTAACCGCTGAGCCAAACTGGCCAGGGCAGATTATCTATATTATTTATTGCTCAAACTGGAACACCAAGAGTGAAAGGGAAGCTACTGGCAATGACTGTGGGGCAAGAGGTGAACACAGGACATACGTCACCCTGTTCACAACAGACCCAGACTTTCAGGAGGATGAGGGTGTGCTAGGTGCCCAGGGTGAGCGTGTGCAGAGGAGGAGGTGTAAAACAGACACTGCCAAGTACTAGTGTGCATTATCTAGAACTCCTGGGGGGAACTTGGCCCTGCATATCAAATGCCTTCATTTGTGGACACATTCTCTGCCAGCATTCCCATTTCACCTCTAGACTCGAGACTAAGGAAAAAGCCATGCAAGTGATGAAAGAGTTGGCTGCTAGGAAGAGGGCTGGTTGAATCAAGTGTGGTAGACCCTTCCATGGAACAGTACACAGCCATTAAATGATGTTGATTTGTAAAAATAATACGTACGTTTTAACAGAATATTCATTTTTAACTTTTAACTATTACAGATCAGGAATATATCTATATCTATATCTATGTCTATGTCTATGTCTATATCTATATCTATACCTATACCTTTACCTATATCTGCATTTTGATATATTCCAAAATATTAACAGTGGTTATTATTTAGAGGTTCTGGATTTTTTTACTTGTCTCTACTTTCTAAAGTTTTACAAAAGAATGCATATTACTTGTTCTAGCTTTAAGAAAATGAGCCTACACTAAGATCAGGGTCTAACATCTGTGAATCTGGAAAGGGAGCCGAGTGGGCCTTTCAGCTGGGTCCTTTGGTTGTTTCCACCCAGGTTTTCTCTCACCTCTTCTCTTCTGCAAAGGCTGCCAGCAAACCTCACCACTGCCCCCTACTGGTAGCAACTATAAGCACAGCCTCATAGGTTAGACCAGGCACAAGGCTTCCAGAAACATTGGGGTGGATGGATTTGGGGTGAGCTTTAAGGAGTAAGCCAGGTTCAAAGATCCTCAATGGCACAACAGGGCCACTCTATTGAATGAGTGAATAAAATTCACTCTAGGGGGCTGGGTTCCCAGCCTAGTCCCTAAAGCATACCCATAATGCAGCTGGAATACCCATGAATGGAACCCTGCCGCTTCTGACAGCTGAATTCCAAACCAGGGACTGGAGAACTGGACAACTGGTTTGGAAGCTGCAGGGAAATAACTGTGCTGGGTCCTGGAGGACATTCGATGGTATTAAGCATAGGTTTTGGAGTCAGGCAGGCCTGGGTTCAAATCACATTATGGACACTTCGAAATTGTACCCTTGGATACGTAAGGAGCTTCATTTTCCTCCAGTAAAAAAAACGGGGGACATAAAAAAGTATAAAAGTCTTAGCATCATGTTCAGTACTTAGTAAGCATTCTAACAGTTTTATACTTGTTAGATTACAGCTAAGCATCCTTCCAGCTCAGGTGCGCTGCCAACACTCCACACCTCTGCTGGTGGAACTGGGAACGGAGCTGGCGCCCTGACACCTAATCCATCAACTACCAACTCGCCTACTGTAAAAGGGGGTTGAATCTCAGGCTGTGGTTATCTATGACCAATCCCTGAACCTAGAATTTGGGGGGGCTGGGGATGAGTCAGGCAAAAGAGACAGACCTGGACCTGTGCCAGGCCAGACGGTGCTGGGAGCAAGGCACAGGGGAGTGGGGACAGTGAGGATGGCCTCCGCAGGGGCTGCCCAACCATAGGGACGCTTAGGGACAAAGCATTTGGGTTTGTTTGTCCAGCCTCCATGAGACACCATCTCCAGACCTCAAGCCTTAGGAGCAAGGCAGAAGCAGAGAAGCCAAGAGACCCTAGAGAACCCTCTGCCCCCTTGTTCATCCAAAATGTATATATTGAGTTCTGATCACGTGCCACTTCAGACACATCAGTGAGCAAAGCAAAGATCCCAACCCTGGATAAACTCACTTTCTAGGTTCTCCCAGGATATAACCTTCAACCTCGGCCCATTTCATGGGTAATAAACTAGGAGCTGTAGCGCTCAGGCCCCCTTCCCAGCAAACTCCCAGACCTGCTCCCTCTGGGTTTACTTCACCTGGGAGACTTGGTTTGCTGTGTGACTTTCAGGAGTCATTCACCCTCTCGGGGCCTGTTTTCCCACAGTAACACGAGGAGTCTGACCTGGATGATCTGCAGTCCCTTTGAGCTCTGAAGGTCTGGGGCTCTAAGCCTAGCTCTTCATACAGGGGATACAGTAAGACCAGCACCACACTCCCGGATATCACTCAGAAAGCTGTGAGTCCTCAGTCTCACCTCCAAGCGGGACAGGGGCAAGGGACCCAGAGTCTAAGTGTCTGCCCATCAAACCACCCATGCCCCTGCCAGGAGCCTTCCCCACTTGAGAGCCAGGCCCAGGCGTGCACTGATGTCAGCTGGAGCTGCCGGGGTCTCACCTGCGCATCTTCCCGGGCCCTGTCCCGATCTTCTCCTCCCTCCTCACGGTTCCCCTGCGGCAGGACCAGTGAGAAAGGTCAGTCCCCAAACATTCACCCTCTGTCCCTTAGCAGCCACAGGACCTTGCTCAGCCATTCGGCCTCTCTGAGCCCTTTTCCTGAGCAGTAACATGGGGACAATAATCCTGCCTTCATAGCGTAGGCTTCGTGAGCGTTAAATGTGAACGTCTGGAAGGCACTGAGCCCAAGGCCCGACTCGGACTCAGTGAGCCTGCATCAGGGTCTGGCACCTGGGTTGTGAGAATTCAAGAGATGGTGATGGCAACTCCTGGGTAACAACACAGGGAAAGGTCACCCACATGGCTTTGTCTTGTCGGCTGAGTGCCCAAAAAGCCAGGCTGAGAGCCACCACGGGAGAGCTGCCCGGAGAAGGTGGCACCAAACCAGCTCTGGGAAGCGAACAATGGAGAAGGCACTGCACGAGGCAGACTGCCTGAGTGGCAAGTGGGGAAGACACCCTCTCTTCACCAGTATGGGCCCTGCTTCCCCCCGGCAGCCACCCTGCCCCTCTCCCAGGGCCCGAGGGCTTAGCAGTCCTACGACCATGAATTCACCCACCGTAGCCAGAGAGACGAGGATCCTTTTGAAGTGGCCGGATGTGTCTGAGCTCAGGGCATCCTCCAGGGACTTGTGATAGTCTGAGACAGAGAAAGGGGGTGTGGGCAGCTGCTGGCCAAGGGGATTGGCAGGGGGACCTAGGGACTCAGACCTGAGCCAGAGCAGTGTTGGTGGGGGTGGTGGGGATGAAGTTTATAGCTGGTTCTTGGGGGCACCCTCACATCTGCTGATCTTTTTTTTTTTTTTAATCCTCTGCGAGGACATTTTTCCATTTTTTGTTCAGGTACAGTGGGAGGGAGAGAGAGGGAGAGAGAGAGAGAGAAACATCGACGTGAAAGAGACACATCGAGTGGCTGCCACCCGCACGACCAACCAGGGCCGGGGACAAACTGCAACCGAGGTACATGCCCTTAGCGGGAACCGAACCCGGGTCTCTCCAGACCGCAGGCCGATGCTCTAACCGCTGAGCCAAACTGGCCAGGGCTTTTTTTCATTTTTTTTTTTTTTTTTTTACATCTGCTGATCTTGACACTGATATTCCCACTGGTCCTTCACCTCCCTTTGCTCCTGGCCCAGGTGAGGGCTTGCCTCTCCCAGGTAATAGCCTGTCTTCGTTCTCTCTTCCACCTACCCCCCTGCGTGACAGCTGCTGGGACCATGGGCACAGTCCTGACTATGTCACTCCATGGCTCACAAATTCTACCATTTTAAAGTTGCTTACAAGAGACAAAGTTTACATATTTTGACCGGTATTCAAGGTTCTTCCGAATAATATGGGGTCACTGGTGAAAAAATTAATAAGCCCTGGCCAGTTTTGCTCAATGGTTAGTGTCAGCCCGAGGACCAAAGGGTCGCAGATTTGATTCCTGGTCAAGGGCACATACCTGGGTTGCAGGTTCAGTCTCTGGCCCCAGTTGAGGTCATGTGGGAGGCAACCAATCGATGTCTCTCTCACATCGATGTTTTTTTCTCTCTCTCTCTCTCTCTTTCCCCCTCAACACAAAAGAGCAAGATGGTGATGGTGTGGCATGCAGGTAAGCATGGGCCTTGTGAAGACGGGGCCCCGTGCGCTGCACAGGCCGCCCTCTCCCCTCACTCCCAGAAAGACTCTTCCCCTTTCAGCCTTAGTCCGGCTGGGACTCTGTTGAGGGCACCCTTTCCCCAGACGCAGGGCTGGGATCAAGGCCTTTGGCTGGGATTCTCTGTCTGGGGTACCCTTTCCCCAGACACAGGGCTGGGATCAAGGCCTTTGGCTGGGATTCTCTGTCTGGGGCACCCTTTCCCAGACACAGGGCTGGGATCACCCAAGGCACTCATCAAGGCCTTGCGGCCCGAGAGAAGGGAGACAAGCAGAGCTGTGGGCAGAGCTGTGGGCGAGGTTGGAAGCTGGAGGACCAAGCCATTCGCCTGCCTGCCTCCCAGTGGTGCCGGGCCCCAGGCCTCCTTCCCATGGACTCACCTTCCTTGTAGGCCTCATTGATGGCCCGGATTTCAGCGTTGGTCCGAGTAGCTAGGATTTCGATGAGAGCCTTTTCATCTGTGCCGGCCCCCTAAAATGTCAAAGCCAAGAGCATCTGAACCACAGTTCTGACCTGCGTGCACAGGCCCACGTGCTCTAACAAACCACCCCGGAGGTGAACACTCGGGCCAAGCCCTCCTGGAGTTTCTCCCCATACCCAGACGTGGCCACAGACATTGGTCCGATCAGGGCTGAACGTATTAGCCCGTTAAGATTTCCAGAATCACCCACGAACACTGTTTTGGACCAAAATTAAAAAGAATATATGATATATGGGTACGTGCATATAAAAGTACATATGCTACGTGTACATATCAGAATATAAATATTTATATATGAGTATATAAAAAACAGAGCACCTGCACCATAGCATCAGTAACTGTGGTCTCTGTGCAGGTGAGAGGTCACAGATGATTTCTATTTTATTCTTTTGCTCTGTGTATATTTTCTCAAATATACACAGTGAACACATGATTTTGTCAGAAGAAAAAAATGTTTGGTGTTTGAAGGAAACAATATGCTCTATTTGTTTGTATTTGGATGTGATGAATGATACGTGGACTGATCCATTAGGTCTTCTGGACTGAGGTAGCTTGGGGAACACGCTCCTCAAAGGCCCCCACTTAGAGGGAGGCGGACAAGACTGACTGATGAATCGACTGGTAGATTCAATTATCTGTTAAACACCTGCAATGTGCCACTCACTGTGCAAGCTGCTAGGGCTATGACTATAAAAACAGGGAAGTCACCCTGGCCAGCAGGCTCAGTTGGTTGGAGTATGTCCATCCATCAAAAGGTTGTGGGTTCAATTCCCAGTCAGAGCACATACCTAGGTTGCAGGTTCAATCTCTGGTCTTGGCATGTACAGGAAGCAACTGATTGATGTTTCTCTCTCATGTCAATACCCCCCCGCCCCAAAATCAATAAAAAAACATCCTCAGGTGAGGATGAAAAGAACAGGAAAGTTGTGTTCTCTGTCCTGGGAGGTTACTGCCCAGTAATCAACTGGTCCCAGGGTTCTCTGTCTTGAAGCAGAATAATGCTGACTGAGATCTTTAGAAGCTGCATTGTGAGGACAGCCCGATCCTCAGAGTCCAGGGTTACCCCATCCTTCCCCCAGCTTTGTATTTTTAAGTCATTTGCTTTCTTGTCTAGGAATTTTGAAAGGACAATCTCAACCTGCTTTGCTTGGGAATGTCTCTTCTCTAAATCCTTCAGAGGCCAAAGCCCTAGTGATTTTTGAGGCAGGATGGTAAGAAGTTAGGAAAATTCCTGGCAAGTGGAAGGAGGGAAACTGAGGCAAAATAGTTAAACAAAGCTGAGCAATTAACAGCCAGCTAATAAACCAAAGACACTTAGGAGCAGATGGTTTATACCTCTCCTTCCCAACCAGAGAATGAGTAGCTTAAATCACTCTGGTTAGGGGAATAGATAACAGAGATCTAGTCGATGCCAACAACGCCAGCCAAACCCCAGAGCAGATGAAGTAAGAAGAATAAACAACAAAAAAGCCCAATCAGAGCCAGACAAATTCAATATAAAAGTAAAGCAGTGAAGCTGACCAGAGAATGATCTCAAACTCCCCTATAGGCTCACATTGATGCATCACCATACTAAAAGACACACCTGAAAAGCTACTGAGTCTTCTGTTGAGACCCTCCCGAGACCTCCCCTAAAATTCCCACCTTCAGGTAACAGATAAGAACCCTCAAGATACCCACACCTCCCCTTTCCTCAGGCATGTATTTTGCTCTTTCTCCTAAACTCTAAGGTCCTCATGAGATTGCAACCAGGGGAGCAGCAGCAGCAAGAGCTTGTCTTGAGCTAATCCCCTGAACCTGTCTCTAAGGACTCTCCTTTTGCATCTGTAACTCGTTTCTTGAGTCCACACAGCCCAGCATGGCTCACTTTGTTTGCCTCTGTAACGTCCTTTCCTGAGTCCATGCAGCCCAGTATGGCTCACTTCTTTTGCCTCTGCAACTACCTTTCTTGAGTTCATGCAGCCCAGAGTGGCTCACTTCTGTTACTATGACTTCCTTTCCTAAGTCCATGCAGCCTAGTCCAGGCTCACTCCTGTTACTGTGATCTTGCCTGTCTATCTTGATTGAGCCCTTCCTTTGTTCCACTGTCCCTAGCTTTCAGAAACGTACTCTTGACATCACCTGGACCTGTGTTGTGAAATCTTTTCCTGCATGAAGTCAAGACCCCGCACATTCTAGACTGTACTGGGGTAGACCCCCCTCAGTCCTGGTCACTTTCTGTTGACAGTTTTATACAGTTGTCAAATCAGGTTCTAGAGCCAGACAGACTTGATCTATATTCCAGCTCTGCTACTTCACAGCACTGTGATTTTAACCAAGCAATTTCACCTCTAAGCCTGTTTTCTCATCTGTAAAATGGGGACAGAAAAAGAGCCTTGCCTCATAGGTTGATGAGACAAGTTACTGTATGTTCTTATTAAAGGAGAGTAGCCCTTGGTAAAATTGGAGCCTTAGGAAGCAAAGAAACCCCAGCAACAGCTAGGCCAGAGCATAATGCCCTTTCTTGCTAATCGCAGGGCCAGGTCTTCAGAGTTAACAGTGCCCCTCATACCTGTGACCTCGTTTGACCCTCCCCCTTGTTTGGAGGGCAGGAATCACTACTTCCATTTCACACTTGAAAGCACACAGGCTTGCGTGAGTGGCCCAACAGCACACAGTACATAGTGGCAGGGCCAGATTAGAAAACAGATCCCAACTGCTGCTGTTGTTCCATCCTGCTTCCTCAAGCTGCTCCATGAGACCCCTCTGACCCCACTGGTTACTGGGTATGTGACCTCACTTCAACCAACCACAGTAAAAGCCAACTTTGGCGGGAGTCCTGGGGGGAAGGAGCTCTTTCCACTGGAGGTGCAAGCTGCTGGGAGGTACACAGCCATCCTGCCACCACGGGGAGAATGGCTGGCTGAGCGAGGAGCCGCAGAGGAGAGGTGAACCAAGGTGGGGAACAGACAAGTGTTCATATAACACTGTTTCTTTCCCTGGATTCAGCCATGTCTAAAACCAAACTGAATCCTGTCCTTTTCAGTTATAGGAGCCAACATCCCCTTCTGTGTTCAAGCCATTTGAACTGGGTGTGGGAAGGGCTCTACCAAGAAGTTATATCCAATCCATCTAGGCTTTGAGGAGCACCTGTGTCCCCCCAGCACCTGCACAGACCAGACCCCATCCAGTTGGTGCCCACACCATACCTCCATTGCCTTCTTTAACTGCTTGGCATCATAATGGTCCGGTGGCAACATTAGCCCCAGAATCAGCCGTGCCAGGTCTCCAGAAAGCTCAGACTTTAGGTCAGCCATCAAGTCCTGCAAAGGGCAGAGCCAAGGTCATGCCAACACCAGCACTTGCCCACGTGACCCAGGCCAGGGAAGATGTATGGAGGAAAGAGGAGCTCTATGTGGACACAAGGGATCGTGGGAGCCTGTGCCTGTCTTTGCTGATGTGGGTTTATGGTTTAGAGGAACTCCTCTTTGGGTTCCCACCCTCTTTCATGGGAAAAACAAAACAAAACCACCAGATGGAAGACCTGCTCTCCTTGGAGGCAGCAGACAGGGAAGGAAAGGGGGCAGAGCCATTTCAATCCTGGGGAAACTCGCCAGGTGAAACCAGGTGCCACTAAAGCACATCAATGACTCTGTGCACAGGGATTTGTGGGGTGCCTAAGGCACTGCAAGAAAACAGCTCATATCCCTGATCACACCCAGCTGAGCCTCCAGCAGCTCTGAGCCATTCACTCAAGCGTTGTCGATCACAAGGAACTGGGGGAATGGAGACTGTCTGCAGGCAGCCCACACCCAGTGATGGAGGTGCTCTCAGAACACGTGACCACACGGGGTCCTGCTGCATGAAGACTCAGGTGCCCCACCTTGCAGAGCTGGCTGGGACAGGCCAAGCTCCCTTAGAGGAGCATGGATACGGCCCAGGCTAAATCCCTTACCCGGCCAAAGTGAGACTTGAAGGTCTGCCGAATCTGCTGCCGCTGGGCATTGCTGCGGTGCGTGATGATGTCAATGATGGTGTCTTCGTCAGTTCCTGAGTCACCAAAGTCACATGGCTCAGATGCAGGCCTGTGGCCCAGCTTCCCGTGTTCCCCACTGATAGGCCCCGTCAATCTTTGTCAGGGTAGAAGCCAGGCTAGGCAGCCATGTGCTCCTGAGCTCCTGAAGGAACCCTGCCTCGGGCCCAAGCCACTAACTTCCCTGGGTTCCTCCCTGCACTGCCTTCCGTCATGTCGCTGGAGCAGCGAGCACTGGGCTGAGAGTCAGGGCCTGAGTTCTAATCCTAGCTCTAGGACCAGTCCTTTCTGGGACTCCATTTCCTGCCTATAATATGACTGAAGTCCCGCTGGGGGCCTTATGTCCTTTCTCTTCAGTTCCCTGAAAGCTGATGTGGGTTTACAGTGACCCCAAGTCCCTCTAAACACAGCAGGGTGACTATAAAGGCATCGGGATACCACCTCCTGGTCTCAGAGCAATGCCATCGACCTCAGACCTGGCACACCACTTTCTCTTTCAAAGGCATTTTTACACCTATTACCTTAGGGTCCTAGATACGCTCAGCAGATACTATCCTTCCCAAGAGACAAATGAAGAGGCGCAGAGAGCAGAGGACTTAACCCAAGGTCCAGGGAGGTGCTCTTGGATGGGGGTGGGGAGGAAGGGCAATGGAAGCCCAAGCCTAGATGCTCTGGCCCCAGTGGCCTTTCTGAAGACAGGCCATCCATCCACCCACAGGGTAGTTCTCCCGCTGGACAGACAAAGGTCTTGAGGGGGGTGGCCAATAGGGGAGGAATTGAGAATTGAGAATCTTGGATTCCAGCGTCCACATCCCTTATTTTGCACGTGGGGGAACTGAGACCCAAAGGGTTGAAGGATTTGCCCAAAGTCACACAGTGAGTTGGTGGCAAACCCAGGACAAGAACCCAGGCCTTCTGATCTTTCATCTGCACTAGGAAACTGCTGCTGAGGGGCTGGGAACACGTGGTCTCTGGGAAGGGACTGCGCCAGGTCCCTCACAAACCCCTGCCCTGCCCTCCTCCCTACACGCGGGGGGCGAGGAGCCTCCTCAGCAGGGTGGAGACTCGGGAGCCTTAGTCTGAGCCCCCTGCTCTAGCCCCTGCCGACCCACTGCAAACCCCAGAGGCCACCCTGCCCTTTCATGTCCCCCTTACCAATTCCCTTCATGGCTTTCCTCAGTGCTTTGGCATCTGCGTCAGGGTTGAAGTCGTTGGCTGGACGCACAGTTCCGTTCAGCTGCAAGAAGCAGAAATAGACTGAGCAGGTGTCTGGAGGCCCCCCGGGGGGCCAGGCCAAGAGAGGAGCATGCGAGGGAGGGGCTGTCCCCATGAGCCCCAAACCAAGCAGCTTGGGGGCAAAGAGGCGGGAGTGAAGGCATAGCAGACAGACCTCTGCCCTAGAGCTGAGAGAGGGAGACAGACAGACCTACGGCAAGTGCTGGGCGGGGGAAAAGTATCCAGGCTCCTGCCCCAGAGCCAGCTGTCCCAGCTTCACTGGGGGCTCCCCAGTCCCTCAGAATCTTGTCCTGTCCCAAGGCTCTCCTGCCTCTTAAAGAGCCACTCCCCCTGAAAAGGCAACAGAAATGTTCTAGAATATCAGAACAATTTCCCAAATTTTAGTCACTCCCAAATGACCGTCACTATGTTTTCCATATTTGTATACACCCTATGCTATTAATATTTTACTTAATCCAATCACTTTCTGTTTTACTTAAATGCATTCATTTGAAATATACTTTTTTCCTTTGATTTTTTTTTTTTTTTTAGAGAGAGAGGGAGAGGGAGAGAGGAAGAAACATCGATGAGAGAGAACATCGATTGGCCGCCTCCTGCATGCCCCCAACCGGGGATCAGGCCCACAACCTGGGCATGTGTCCTGTCCAGGAATCTAACCAGCGACCTCTTGTTGCGTGGGTCGATGCTCAACTGCTGAGCCACACGGCCAGACTTGAAATACATTTAAATACTCCTCAAGGGCAAGGTTTTTTGTCCATTTTGTTCTTTGACATATCCTTCAACAGTGACCGACAGAGTAAGCACTCAAAAAAATATTTAATTTATGAGTAAATGAAATAATTTTACATTATTATCATAAACAGGGAGTCGGTACCATGTTCCATAAACAGACAAGAATCTTCCATGAAAATAAATGTAATACAAACAAAAAACCATGTTGTTGCCTTGGCTGGTGTGGCTCAGTTGGTTGGGCAACGTCTTGTGTACCCAAAGGTTGCTGGTTCGGCCCCCGGTCAGAGCACATGTCAGGGTTACAGGCACATTCCCCTGTAGGGGGTGTGCAGGAGGCAGCCAATCAATATACTGCCCTCACATCGATCTTTCTCTCCCTCTACCTTCCTCTCTCTTTCTAAAATAAAAAAATCAATAAAAATGTAAAAACAAAAACCATGTTGTGAAATACGTATCACATTTAAGCAAGATGCTGTTCTTGCCCAAAGCAGCACTCTGAGCTTGAAGCTGGCTCTCTCAGCTCTCCGTGAAGGAGAACCAGCAAGTGCGGCAGAGATGTGGCACCAAACCCAGACTCCCGCCGACGTGACCAGAAACACTGAAGAAACTGCAAAGGAGCAGCTCTCTCCACGCGAGGTTCGGGTTGTTCAGTGCCATGGAGGTGCCCTCTCCCAAGCTGAGTTCATTTCTCGCAATGACTGATCTTGCCTCATCATTTGGGAAACGCTATTCTAGAACATCACAGCTCAAGAGCCCTTCAAGGGTACCGAGCCAGCTTCATGTCAAAGATGGAGACAGGGGCTCAGAGAGAATTGGGGACATGCCTACAGTGGCAGAGCAAGGATCCAAGGTTCCAAATACTTTTGTGTGGACCAGGTGCTGCCAATCCCTGAAATGGTTTGCTCCAAGCACGTCTGTGAAACCTTCATCTGCATCCTTTGTGGAGTCTGGGTCTGAGGACGGTTGGACAACCTGAATCCTGCAGTGTACCCCTGGGTGTCCATCTGTCCTCAGCTTTCATGCCTCCTGAACCCAACTGTGGGGCCCAGGATGGGACAGGCCCCTCCATGGAACTAGCCAGGTTAGTAGTTAGTGGGCCGGAACACTTCCCAGCGTGTTAGAAGTAAATGTAGGAAGCAGATGCCCACACCAGAGTGCCCACCCCTAAGGCATCACTCCAAGGAGAAGAGGAAGCTTCAGATGTGAGAACCAGTGTCTCAGGCTGGCCAGCAGGGGGCAGCTGAGTGCCAACCAGAACAGCAGGAAGGTGCGAGCAGAAGAGTGGAAGCTTGTGGTCAAGAAGTCAAGCAGGAGGTGGGGAGGGTCTGACCTCTACTCGGGCCACTGCACTAAGCTCCCACATCTGATAGGCCACCTGCGCTGCCTCCGGGAAGAACTGGCCAGCAGCACTGGAATGGAGGGGGTCGGGGAGAGGACAGGAGGGAATGTCATCGTAGGCAACACTCCACGCACGCCACACTCACACACACACACACACACACACACACACACACACGCACAGTAAATTCATCTATCTTCTCTCCAGTCTATGACCCCTCCCTCCATTTCTGAGAACTTCTACCCTCTCCAGACCCCCTGCAAGGCTGGCTCTGCCCAACGCCTTCCTGGCGGGTCCCAAGCAGGACAGCATTTCTCCAACCCTTCAACTCCCCTTTGGTCCCTGAAATTTCAGCGATTCCTGTGCAAGTCTCCCTCTCAAACGAGCAGCTTACGGCCACTGCATCTCTGCAGCTCCTCCTGCAAAGCACCTGGGCACATCCGGTGCTCAGCAAATGTCTGCTGAACTGAACCAGCCCCGATGGCACTCAGCAAAGGGCAATGGGGGTTCTTGTAGCTCTTACTTAACACGACCCTCATAAGCCCCAGGGGGGAGACGGCAGTACCCAGAGTTCCCTTTCGAGCACTCAGATCTGGTCGAGTCATGCTCCAGTTTCACCTCTTCCATGGCTCCCACTGCCCTGAGGGTCACATGCCAGGAAGAGGCCCTGGACCCTGCCCCCTCTCAGCCTCCTCTCTGCTCCCAGAGCTCAGCAAATGTGTAGCCTCAGTGATAACAGCGAACCAGGCCGTGACCTCTCATCTCAGGGCCTTTCCTCCATCCAAACACTCCTCCCCAGACACTGTCTTTGCACCCCTCCTCTCCTTCCTCCAGGGGCTCAGCCTCATTATCCTCAGGAGCCCCCAGTCTGGGTTATGCCCCTGTATGAGCTTTCACAGTGCCCATCACAGTGCCCTGTACGCATGCCCTGGTCTGCACGCTGCTCTGGGCTGAAGACCATCAGCTGCTTCCCACAGGCACTTAGTCCAGATATGTGAGTAAACGAGGAGGAGGGCGGGCGGCTGCATGGCTGCCATTTAACGGACGATGACGCCGAGAAGCAGCTATGAAGTAGCAGGGTCTGGGCCCCCATCTCCCATCTTCTGACACCTGCTCCCTAACACCAGACTGAGTTCCAAGTTCACACAGACACTGGACTTTGCCTGCGTGGTGCTCCTGGCTCTGAGGAATCCCCACGCTCATCCCATCCATCCATTGGCATGAGGCCCGCCACCCTCAAGGCCGCTCCCCCGGGGCCCAGAAGCCACTTACTCATCATCTCCCCCACACAGCTTCAGCAGAGCCTTCTTGTATTCGCCAGAGGTGTCATTCTGGGGAGAAGAGAGAATGGTTACTTCTCACCCGACCCTGGGGCCTTCTCAGACAAGGAGAGATTGGGAGCCCCAAACAGGGGAAGACTAAACATTATTCATTAGTCCTGACTCTCCTCCTGTTGGAAGTGGCTGAGACACCGAACACCGGTGTGCTGGTAAGAATTTAACAATGGGCTCTCTGCGGGGGAAGGCCCTGACTTGTAGCATCTGCCAGTTTCGGTGGTGTAAATATTTCCAATGGGCAAGTTCGAGACACCAGTATGATTTCATAGAATTTGAAGTTAAGAAGAGATGCGCACTGCTCTGCTGAGCCAGGGAGCACACCACTGCCGTCGGCCCAGCCCCCCAAGTGAAAACCGTGCGTGACAACGGCTCCAAGAACAAACACGCCGGGAAAGGCGAAAACCCAACATACATTTGATCGATGTGGCATATTCCATACCCTTCTTGGAGCTTCACAATGGACTTCATATACTAAAAGCTCTGAGATAAAGAAACTGGCTTATCTGTGCTTATTCTAGTTTTTTCCAAACATTTTTCCATGGGACCTTTTTGCCCACTATGCCTACAAAATTCTGCTTTAGACGTACACTTTGGGGAACACAGCTTGAACTCAGAAAGCGTCAGCCCCCACCAAAACAGGAGGAAAAAACTCAACTCAACATTAGTCCCTTGACCGACTCAAGAGTTGGACACCCCAGAGTCACCAGCTGGCTCAGGGCCAAGGGGCCCCAACTAAACTCTGATTTGTGTCCTTCAGTGTCACCTCCCTCACCCAGGAGACTGAACCCTCACGGCCCTGGGGACAGAGTCCTCAGCCCGGCTTCAGCTTGCGTGCCCTTCGGGCCCGGCCCTCCTTCCTCTAACGGGGTGCCTCACGCTCCTCCGTCTCACAGGCACCCAGACACCTGCTTCTCTGTTGAAGGGCCTTCAGGTCCCCGAATGTTCCTCAAGGCAGCGGCTCCTGGAGTTCCCAAGAGACGCCAGCTTTCTAGGACAGTCGTTCCCAAGCCCTGTCTCGGCAGAAAGCCCCTCTGTGTACCCCATCAGCTCCGCTTACCTTGATCATGCTGTAAAGGGACTTCTCATACTTGGTCCGGAAAATCTCCCGAATGTCAAGCATGTCCAGCTCGCTACGGGAGACCATGATGCGGATCAGGCTGTTGTCCCGAGTCCCCAGGCCCTGGAAAACAAGTGGGTTTGGGGGACAGAGTTGAGGGGGTAGAGTGCTGGCAGCACCCAGCTTAGTTGCAAACGCAGTTTTCCAAACAAAATGTTAGGATCAAGAGCAAGAGACGCAGAACATGGCCACTGCCTCCCCGTGAGTCCCTCCTGCTTTTACCTCCATCTTCCCCTTACCTCATTCCCATCCCTGATTTTCCTTACAGTCGTACCTAACTTTGTAACTCTGAACCGTTTATTGTCTAGGTTTGCACATGCGGGATCGTTCAAACTACGCCAGTGTGCCTTATTCTTCCTGCTTCCTGATGGACACTAGGCTGACTCTCGTCTTCTTCTAACAAGGACAACACTGAGATGACTGTTACAAATAAACGCACACACACAGGCAACACCTCTCCGGGGCTGGGCTGCCCACCCCTCTCTGACACTGGAGGGCACAGGGCAGGCTACGTCCACTGCCTGTGGGGACGGCCACGCAGAGGCTCTGGCTCTGGCCACAAACGCCTCATTCATGCACCCTGTGTGCGATAGAAACAGCATCGGTTTCTGTGGGTCCTGTATGAAATACCGGGGAGCTGGGTTAACAGATACCCAGCGTGAAATCGCTGGGTCACGAGGGAGTATTGTGACTCTTTTTTTTTTTTTTAGCTATGAACATTTCTTTATTTATTTTTATCCTCACCCGAGGACATTTTTCCATTTTGTTCAGACAGTGGGAGGGAGAGGGGTGGGGAAGAGAGAGAGAGAGAAAGAGAGAGAGAGAGAGACATCGACGTGAAAGGGACATGTCAAGTGGCTGCCACCCGCACAACCCACCCAGGGCACAACCCAACCAGGGCCGGGGACAAACTGCAACTGAGGTACGTGCCCTTAGCGGGAACTGAACCCGGGTCTCTCTGGACTGCGGGCCAACGCTCTAACCACTGAGCAAAACCGGCCAGGGCAGCATTGTGATTCTTAGCGGGCAATGCCAAAGTGCTTTCTGCTTACCCATGTACTCTCTAGATAAACATTCTGATTGATTGATGGCTTTTAAACATTGATTAAGGTTTTTTATTTTATTATTTTTTTAATCCTCACCAGAGGCTATTTTTCCATTTATCTTCAGATGGGGGCGGGGGGTAAACATCGATGGGAAGGACACATCAATTGGATGCCTCCTGCACGACCCCGACCCGCCGGAGACTGAAACACAACTGAGATATGTGCCGTTGGCTGGAACTGAACCCACAACTCTTTAGTCAGAGGGCCAATGCTCAGCCCACTGAGCAACCGGCCAAAGCTGATTGATTTTTTTTTTTTTAATCCATACCCAAGGACATTTCTCCATTTTTTGTTCAGATAGAGTGGGAAGGACAGAGAGGAAGAGAGAGAGAGGGAGAAACATCGATGTGAAAGGGACACATCGAGTGGCTGCCACCCGCATGACCCAACCAGGGCCGGGGACAAACTGCAACCGAGGTACGTGCCCTTAGCGGGAACTGAACCCGGGCCTCTCCGGACCGTGGGCCGACGCTTTAACCACTGAGCCAAACCGGCCAGGGCTGATTAATGTTTTTTAAAAGTATGGGCTTCCAACCCATCTAGCTGGATGGCCTGGGTGCAGGCTGTCACTGTACCCTCTGATCAGTCATGAGGTCAGGGCAGGTATTTGGGTGGGAAGGTGTATGACCAGGTAGCATCCCAGGCTCTGGAGCTCTGGGACAAAGTGTCCTCACTCTGACCTGTGGCCAATCCTTGAAGGCTTCCTTTGGCCAGTGGACCACAGGACTTTCCCAAGAGTCCCGGTGGGGTGGGCAGAGACTCCCTCCCCCAACCTCCTTCACATCAAACCGACCACGCACCTTCATGGCCTTGAAGAGTCTCTCAGCGAAATACTCTGGGGTGCTTCGGATACACTTCACTGAGAATAAAGAACAAGCAGTTATTCTGGCTGCTTCAGGAGGATGGGGTGACCTGCCCCATCTCTGTTTCCACTTCTTGGGGGGCCACCAAGTTCAAACCCAGGAAGAACCCTGGCTCATGACAACCTGCAACCCCAGCACCTAGACCTGCCCACTGTATCACAAAGCCAGGGGATCGAGAAATCAGGAAACGGACCCTGTAATGTGGTTAGCACTTTACAAAGACCCACTTAGTCTTCTAGTCCTCTGGGGTTTCAGAGGGAACTGGGCCGGGTGGGTGGTAGCTTCTGGGTGGAGCTGAGAAAGGTGTTTCTTTAGACTCTGCTGTAGCAGAAAGGTACTAGCTGCTGAACCACTGGATCCTGTCCATGGGCAGAGCGGGCCAGAACCTGACTACTGCAAGCAGGGTCGGCAGGGGACAGTTCTGGGGAGGAAGATGGGCCTGGGCGGTAGCCTTCTCCCAAGAAACACACACACACACCCCAGGCTCAGACATGCTGACTCTTGGAATGTCTGGATCACAAGGCCTCCGAGTCGGGCAGTCTGCCCCTGCACCCCCATTCATCAGATGAAGAAACTGAGGCCCAGCAAGGATGAGAGACTTACTCTATGTCACAGCAGGTTTGAATATCGACTCTACGTTGACTAGTCAGCTCCTGGCATCCCTCACACTCAGAGTACCCCCAATTCATAGCAAAATGACCCTTCGGCCAGTGACAGAGCCTCTGCGAGAAGCAGTTTTCTCACTTGTGAAGATAATGACAGTGCCCACTCCTGGGTCCTGGTAAAAACTGAACCCCAGTATAGCGCCTGGCACAAGGTATGCGCTCCACCAAACCGCTCGCCTGGTCAGGTTCCTGACCCTGGCCCTGTGCTCGTCTCTCAGTCCACCACACAGTCAGGAGGGGTGAGCCAGAGGAAGTCTGTCCCTGGCCTCAGCCATGCTGCTCCGGCCAAACCTTTGTACTCCACTGCCCACCTGGTCCTCACCTTCCCATCTCCGTGCCAAACAACTTCCCTTTTCCATTCTCAGCCCCTTGCTCCTGGGCCCGAGTCCCAGACCTCTCAATCCCCCGAAGGGACATCAGGACGTACCCACAGCCAGCATCAGCTTCTCAAAGTCCCCGGACAGCTCTCCTCTGATGCTGGCTTCGATGGGCTTCCCCGTGGTCTTCAGATACTCATCAAACACTGCATGAGACGGAGTAAGGATGTCAAGAGTGTCCCCGTGGCACTAAGAACAAAGGGTCGCCAGAAGGGGAGGGTGCCGTGGCCAGGACAGGAGTGCCAACCTGAAGGTAGGGCTGCCCTCAGAGGGAAGGGCTAGGCATCCTGCTACTGACCGGTGAAGGACCACACCAACCACTGTCTGACAAAATCAGGACCAGTGTTTGGGCTGGATGAAGTAGTGATCGTGCTCCAGTAGCAGGAAAGGAAAAGAGAATGGAATTTTTGGCACAGCTCCTAGCAGCAGCTGCCGTCTTTTCTGGAACTTACCCAACCGAAGATGCTGCTTGCTGCGATTCCCCAAAATGTAAATGAACTGGGCTTCGTCTGTTCCCCATTTCAGTTCCCCTGCCTCGTACAGGTCCTGAAGGGGAAGAGGGGGCACTAACTGAAGGAGAAAACCTCAGGAGCCAGGGCGCACGGGCCAAGCCACTCAGAACTGATGCTGAATCCCTGAACATACCAGTACCTGGAGCTGCAGGACCCTTGCAGATACTGGATAGCTTTTGCCCTTTCTTTCTGGGGAAAACTCCTAGTCAACCTTCAAGCACCAGATCAGATGTCCCATTGGTTCTCACAGCACTTGCTGATGTCCCCAGGCAGGGCAGTTTGTTTCCCGCCCTCCCTCTCTCTTCTAGGCTCCTACAGCTTTCTGTTCCTTTATAGCTCCAATCCACTTATATTATAACGACTTCTTTATATGCCTGTCTCTCCACTGTGACATGGACTCTTCAAGACAGGGACTATGTCTTAGCATTTTCTGTATCTGTCCCTGCGGTGTTATTGGCAGACAGCAGGGCTCAAAACACCTGGCATGTATGGTATATCCAGGGAGAAGGTGCTTGTGTGATTAATATAATCCCAGTACCGTCTGATTTTGTTTATTAGTGATTCCCAAAGCTTAGCACAGTTCCTGGCACACAGTAGGTGTTCAACAAATATTAACTAACTGAAAAAATGATGAAAGCTCCAAAATACATCTAAACAACTTTACATCCATCGAAAGGCAACATGCGTCCTTTCTTTAACAAAGTGCTATACAAATGTCAGTTATTTCTGGTATTTAATGCAAATTACTTCGCCGGCAGCCCTTCCCCGATCCCCAACCCTCCCCCAACCCTCCCGCTCTCCGGGCTCCCTGGCTGTGCCTGGGGTCCTCCATCAGGGCTGGTTTACCTGGGCGTCCTGCTGCACCAAGTCCTCGCTCACTACATCGTCCTCCTCCCTGGTCCCCTGGGCAGAGAGACAAGGAACACGTGGTTCAAACACCAGGCTGGGGGACGGCCAGGACGCCAGTGGTGGACGGGGACACTGGGAACCCCGGTGGCTGTAAGAGTCCAGGAGCAGTGACTTACAGCCACTGAACCAAGCCCCCAACACCCACTGTGTGGGGAATCACAGTCCCTCCACTGGCTTTGCCCTTCATCCTTGGAGCTGGGCCCAAACAGGGGAGTCCTGCGAATAACCAAGGTCCCTCCAGGTGCCCCTGCCACAAGTCCTGCACGTATGTGTTCTAGTAGGGGCTCCCATACCTTAACCCCAGGAATTCGCCAATCAGGATCTGAGACCTGGGCTCAAGCCGTGAAGGCACCAGATCCCGCTGGTATTCGTTGCTCCCCAGGTCCTCTGCCCCATCTGACAGGAGGACCCTGGCAGGGGACGGGGACAGCCCGACGGGCTGATTGGTCATGTGGGCAGAGGTCCAGCCTGTGCTGTTTCCTCTTCCCTCAGGCTCGAGCATTTCGGTCTCCCCCTGCCCCATTCTCTGGGACGAGCCGAAGCAGACAGGGCTGCAGCACACATTCCGTGCCGCTTCGCTGCCCAGCTGGCACCAGCTGTCCAGGAGGCAACATCCCGGACGCCAAGATACAGGCCGGAAACTCTCCAGAACATGCCCTTTCAAAATGGGGACAAAGGTCACACTGCCCCACTCCAGAGTTTCTGACTGTCATGGTAACAGCAGGAAGAGAACTGGTATAAAATGGGGTGGGCTTAATTTCTATATAAAGCTTCCCAAAGGTCTGGTCCTCGGAGCAGGGCTTGAGATACCTCCGGGTCTGTTCCCACAGGGCCTGCGGTCACAGGTGGCCGTGAGGCTGGACAGGTCAAGGTGTACAAAGGTGATGGCAGGCGAGACCTGCTCTCCAGCGCACTGCTGTCACGCAAAACGCAGGCCTGCTCTTGCCAGAACTTTCAATTATTCAAAAGAATCCAGACGTCTGGTTTTGTAACAATCTCCCTTTTTGTAAATGTTAGCAAATAACTAAAGATTTTTTTTTTAAAAAAAACCCACTGTGAGGAAAAACAAAGAGAAAAAAATCCCTACTTGGCAGCCTCTTTAGGGTCTCCTTTTTATTGCTCCTTTGGGGGAGGGAGAAGCAGCAGGGCAGGCTGTCGGGGGGCAGAAGCAATGGCAGGAGGGAGGCCCAGAGAAGGGCTGTGTATGGAGAGAGGAAAAAGGTCACAGAAGAGGACATTCCTGGGTGGGAAGGGGGTGGGGGGAGAAGGGTGCATGCAAAGGGAAATGTAGGTCACCTGACTATGCAAACCAGGGTAACAGAACAGACACCTGGATGCTCAAATTTTACACCAGGTGAGCCAGAGGGAAACCATCTCAAGTTCAAGGATAAAATGGGCGAAGGGGGGAGGGAGTGGCCACAGTATATGAGGACTTACACCCAAGGAGCCAGCAAGAATCCCCTCACAGGTTACCCTGTCTGTGGGGGCAGGGAGGTGGCCACAGCCCTGTGCCGGTGTTCTGGTTGAGAGCTCAGGGGAGGGCCCCAAGTGGACCAACCTGGAGCAGGACCACAAGCATCTTCTGGAAGTGGCCAGAGGTGTCGCCAATGATGTCAGCCTCCAGGTCCCGTTCGTAGGCTGCAAGGTTGGAACACAGGCTCTAGTCCGACCCCCAGAAGATTCAAGGGGTCCAGGAGAAAGGCCCCACTGCCCCCAAATGATCAGACCGTGGTTACAAATCCCCAAACCCAGTCTCCATGCCAACTATGGCAAGACCCCGGGTGTTCTCACAGTTCCTTGTTCTCACTGACCCACGAAACCATACGATGGAATCTGTCCATTTCGCTCTATCCCCACCTGTGCCACCTCCCTCCATCATCACTCGGTGGACAGCAGCTACAGGCTCTGACTACCCCTCTGCTTCTGCTCTCATTCCCTCTCCGATCCACAGGAACAAGAGTGACCATCATAAAGCCCCGAACTGACCACAGGCTCCCCTACTTCCCACTGGACTTAGAATAAAACATCGTCTCTTCCTCTCGGCCTACGAGGTCCTGCGCCCCACCCTCCACTGCTCCAGCCTCACAATGGCTCCCAGGCTCATTTCTGCTCCAGGCTCTTTGGACTTGCTGTTCCCTCCGCCAGGATCTTCTCACTCTTTATAGTACTAGCTCCTTCTCATTTCCTCCAAGACAGGCTTTCCCTGTGTGAGGTGTGAGGCAGGTCCTCCCCAGTTACAGTTTGATTTCTACCTTGTTTCCTTCGCATCACAACCACACGTCATCGTGTTTACTGTTTATTGTCTGTATCCCTCATTACCTCATTAGTCTATGAGCCCTCGGAGGCAGGGACTAGTGGTTTTGCCTGTCACGGTGTCCTGAGAGCCTAGCACACTGCCCAGCACAGAACAGGCACTTAGTGGAGAGCCAGACAGATGAGGAAGGAGGAAGGTGGACGGATAGGCTCTCAGGGTCCCCACTCTTGCAATCACCCCCATTTCATAGCTAACAATTCTGAATGCCCCCCGCCCCATCTCACCATCTTTGTACGCTGCCACCAGCTGGTGCATCTGCTCGTTGGTCCGGGAAGCCAAGATCTCAATGAGGCACTTCTCATCGGTGCCGATGCCCTGGGAGAACAGGAGGCACACGAGTCAAGGGCTGGGATGGGAGGCGACTGGCCATGGGCTGGGATCCTGGAGTGGCCAGAGCTATGAAACCCCTAGCATTTGGGGTGCTCCCACCATAGCTCATAAGCACCAATTGGGAAACTGCCCCAAGAATCAGAAGACATGGGTTCTAGTCCCACCTCTGCCTATAGCTTCCTTTGTGACCTCTCATTAAGAAACTTTATCTTTCTGAGCCTCGGTTTTCTCACCTGTAAAAGGAGATGCTACTTGTTGGTCTACCATCTTGCAGGGAGATTGAGACGGTAATGATCTCTTACTTTGCTAAGTTTATCAGTTTATGAAAGGAATTCATGTTTAATAGCTCATCTGAGGCAAAGACCATAGCACTTTATCAATGGCAGAGTGCTAGGTACATCAAAAGGCTTTTTTGATCTCTCCCTGCTTTCTAGGGAGGAACCCTCGACCTCAACCAGACTGAGCAGCTCCTCATATTCTGAACAACTTCCATGACCTCTCTTGCCATTTTTTTCTTCAGCCTGGAATGACCGTCCCACTCTGATCAACCAGTCCTCTCCAGGCTTTTGGGCCCAACTTGTTCCTCTCATCTTCTTAAAAAAAAAAAAAAATTCTTTATTGATTTTAGAGAGAGAAGAAGGCAGAGGGAGAGAGAGAGAGAAACATCGATGAGAGAACATCGATTGGCCGCCTCCTGCATGTCCCCCAGTGGGGATCGGGCCCACAACCTGGGCATGTGTCCTGACCGGGAATCAAACTGGCGACCTTTTGGTGCATGGGTCAGTGCTCAACCACTGAGCCACACCGGCTGGGCATCATCTCATCTTCTTAAATGACACCCTCTTAAGCCACCCGGAGCCCAGGGCCTGCCCTCCTGACCTCCTTTAGTACACTGTTGGCCTTTGGGTGTTGGACACAATTTGTCTCCGTGTCCTTATGTCCTGATTCCTCAGGACTGGAAGCTGCTGGAATGGGGTCTGGGCCAAGGACCCCCTTTCATACTGACATCTGTCCCACATCTGTCCACCAGGAGGAGACCGTGGTACCCTCCTGGGACAAGGTTTGGGCGAGCTGCCTCTTGAAGGAAGGCACATCCACAGGGGTGCAGGGCTCTTGGACACTTGCTGCAGAGGCCGGAATCTTCCCCCAGCCACGCCCACAGCCAACACACACAGACTCCCGCTTCTTACCGCGAGGGCATCTTTAATTTCTTTGGCATCACAGTAAGCAAGTGGCCTCATCAGGTTCACAATCAGTCGTTCAAACTTCCCCGTCAGCTCATACTTCAAGTCTGCAATGAGGTCCTGGCGGGGTGTGGGGGAGGAGACGGAGGAGGAAGGGAAAGAGCAGTTAGAGTAAGAGTAACATTTAATGAGCATGTACTCTGTACAGGCACTGGGCTAAGTATTCTCATTTCTCCGTCACTCTTGGAGGTATGTGCTATCATCAGTATCTCATTAGTCTATAAGCTCTCCTGTTTATTGTCTGTATCCCTTATTATCTCATTAGTCTATGAGCTCTCGGAGGCAGGGACTAATGGTTCTGCCTGTCACGGTGTCCTGAGACTCTAGGACACTGCCCAGCACAGAACAGGTACTTACTGGACAGACAGACAGATGAGGGATGAATAGGCTCTCAGCTTAGAGACATCAGGTACCTGCCCAAAGTCATGCAGCTAGCAAATGGTGGTGTGGGGTTCAAGTCCACAGTGCCCTGCCTCTTCCCACCATTGTTTATTTCCTTGTTCATGTGTCTCCCTCACTATCTGCGAGTCCAAGCTGCTGACACTCTCACAGGTCTTGTTCACCTGCGGGGCTCTAACCCCAGCACACAGAAGGTGCTCTAGGCAATTTGTGCTGAATGGTCCCTGACTGAGGAGAAAAAGAAGCCGAAAGTGCCAGCACAGAGGCTGCCCTGGAGCCACACGCTCAGGAAAGACGCTGAAGGAACACACAGGCGCAGGAAATCATTCCCCAGCCCCGCACCCCTGCCCTCCGGCTGCCAGTTACCTTGCCGTAGAGGGACTTGTAGCTCTGGCAGATCTCCTGCCTCTGCCTGTTGCTCCGCGAGGTGATCAGCTCCAGGATGGCCTCCTTGTCACTGCCTGGAAGAGGGGAAGGACCTGTCACCCTGCCCCAACCTCCCTCCAGGGAGCCCACCAGGGCTGCTCCCTGCAGTCCCTGGCATTAGCCCTGCTCCCGAGGTGGCAGCATCACAGAGGGGGACCTATGGGGGCCTGTCAAGCCGTCACTAAGAGGGACTGTAGCACATGCAGGATGTGAGCTCAGAGGGCCCTCGATTCAGCTCCTCATCACACAAATAAGAAACTGAGGCCCGGGAGGGCAAGGACTCACCCGCGGTCTCACAAAGAGCCTGGCTTAGAAAAAGTCAGGTGCACTAACACCCAGGGCAGGTTCTCTCAGAAAGAAAATAAGAGACTACTGAGCCAAATTCAGGGAAGTGGTGACCCCACGAGGAAAGTGGGGTCTCGTGACCAGCAGGAGGACCTGCCAAGGGGGCTCCAACTCTACGAGGAAGCAAGTGCTCGTTCTCGAGTGGGTGGCAGGTCTGTGGCTGAAGCTGCTCTGACGCGTCAGACCTTTTTGTTGGTCTGGAATAGTTCACTATAAAATTATGAACAATAATAAAAAGGAGGAGACAAAAGAGTGAGTGCACCTTACCATCTCACCCCCCCACACACACACGGGCTCTGGGATGTGCCCACGTGTGGGGATACCCCCAAGCCCCAGGGACCCCACCCCCAGCGGCTGGCACCCACCGAAGCCCTTCATGGCGTTATACAGAGCCTCGGCATCCTGGCCGGGGTCGAAGTCTGGGAAGTCGTGAATGGAGCCGCGGTACTTGGCACCCTGCGGAGAGAAAAGCAGAGGGTGAGCTGCTGACCCTGACCCTGACCCTGACCCTGACCCTGACCCTGACCCGGGCTCCCAGCCCCAACACAGGCCACACTCCCAACCTTGTCCTCAGGTGAGGACCAGGCTGAGTCCCCTCCCCTAAAATTGAGGGCTGACCACAGAAAGCCTGGCCAAGGGTAGAGAGGGCTCTCCTGGTACCCCCACCACTACCTGACCCAAGGGCGGGGCCGCCGCCCCACAGGAGGGTGGCTCAGCCAAGCCCTCGGCCCTGCATCACTCTCCTAGGACCCCGGAGAGGTGAAAAGCCAGGCTGCGTACTGGGGCTGGAAATGATCCCTACAACAGTAACAAGAGCCCCTCATATATATATATTTTTAATCCTCACCTGAGGATATTTTTCCATTTATCTTCAGACAGAGTGGGAGGGAGGGAGAGATAGAGAGAAACATTGATGTGAGAGGGACACATCGAGTGGCTGCCTCCCGCACGACCACAACCAGGGCCGGGGACCAAACCACAACCGAGGTATGTGCTCTTGACTGGAATCGAACCCGCAACTCTTTGGTCCATAGGCCGATGCTCCAACTGCTGAGCCAAATTGGCCAGGGCGAGCCCCTCATATTTTTATGGCGCTTTCTGATTTACAAAGCCCTTTGGCCTCCATTATGATTCTTTTAGCAACTTGGAGAAGCACTTAAGACAATCTCGATCACACCGAGCCCAGGGAGGGGGGCCTCTTGCCAGGGTCACTGGAACCCAGCTCTCTGGCCTACTGCCCTCTGCTCTACAGCTCTAGAAACCCACAGCTGCCAGCTTCTGGGGGTGGGGGTCTTGGCTCGGGGTCAGAGCCACCCTCAGTATCAATGCCTAGACAAGGCACCGCCCCTCTGGGGCAGTAAACTGAGCTGTGAACTGGTATCTGAGGACAAGCTGGCTGGGTCCTGGGGGAGGGGAGGAGAGGCAGAGCCAGAGGACCTTAGACATCGAGCCTGAGCGCACAACAGGCTGGTTGACAGAGAAGTCAGGTGTGGGTCAGCTACAGCCTGAGAAGCGTGGGGTCCAGGAGAGAGGCGGAGAGCTGAGAGGGCCGAAGATGCTGGGGCCCCAGGCCTGAGCACGCAGCTCGGGAACAGGGCACTCAGCCCGGATCAGGCCCGACGCTGCAAGCTACAGATTCAGGGAGAGCGAAGACCTGACCCAGTCTTTCTGAGCTTCTGACCCAGCGGCGGAGAGACAAGCATACACAGTGGCACAGAGCCTGTAGTAAACACCCGAAGACAGAGGCAGAGTAAAGGGGAGAAACAGCAGAGGTCAAGTCCAGCTGGGGGAGGGAACCAGGAAAGGCTCTGTGGGAGGGGTGGGGTGGCCCACACAAACTGTGCCTTAGGGGAGGAAGAAGCAGACTGGCCAAAATGAGCGTCCGATCACCTCTGAGTCTCCCAGTGCCCGCACTGAGGACTGGCCAGGCATCTGGGTACTCTCTGGCTTACGTCTGCAGCTGCCAGCTTCTCGGAGGTATGCACGCGTGGGCGTAGGGTTGCTATTTAAAGTTCTGATGGGGCGGGTGACCAGAAAGGGACACGGTCTTCTTCCCGCCATCAGTGAATCCCCTGCAACCTGATCACAGCCTTGGGCAGAGAAGGAAAGAGGAACACATGCCAAATGCCCGGACCAGAAAAGAGATACTCCCTCCAGAAAGCTCTGAGCGTCTGCCCTGCTCACTGAAGTATTCTGAGCACCTAGCACAGGGCTTGGCACCCGAGGCACTCACTAAACTCTGGTTTCCTAGATGAGTGGGTGTGTGAAGGGAGGATGACTGAGCATGTTCTGAGCAGACCAGAGACTTCCTGGGGCTGACATCTAAGCTGCGTCCTACAGGATGAGTAACAGCTGGCCCCAAGGGGGCTGGGGGAGGGAAAGGGCTTTATCGAGTGGGAACAGCCTGGCACAGACCTGGAAGCAAGAGCAAGCAGCATGCAGGGGAGCGAGCCAGATGTTTCAGCAGCAGGGCCAGTCTCCACGTGGGTCTTTGCACAGGACAGTAAGACCTTCTGGGAGACTACCGACCAGAGTAGTTACCCCAGGACCCTGCAGGATCACAGCCACCAGAACAGGGGGGCACAGGGAGCCTCAGTGCTGGTCACACTGGGAGACACAGAGACAGTCCTTCAAAGCATCCAGGCTCAGGTGTCTCACCATCGGTCATTCTCACTCCAAGTTACTGAATCTTTTGTCTCCAAGTGCCACCTGTGAGCAGCTGTCCCTACTTCTCCTCTGGCAAATAGGTTCCTGGCCTCAGGTGCCCATGATCGAGGGGGAAGGGAGGGGGGAGCAGAGGCAAAGGGACTTTCCACCCTGAAATATTCAGGAGGTCCCGATGCCAGCTGGTGAGTAGCCTGAACCCTGGGGCTCAGAGGTCTTGGGCCCCATCCAGGCTGCTGCTAGAGTAGGAGGGCTGTGGCCTCTCGAGGGCAGAAGCGACACCGCCCAGACAAGGCTGCTGGCCAGGACTCCACCTGGGAGCTGCCCTGATCAGACCTGACTCAGAACTAGTCTCTGCTCCTCCTGGGATTCTAGGCACCAGCACCTGCCCCTCTTGCCCTGTCCTCACATTGTTCTTACGTTTATCATCACGTTCAAACCCAGACATCCCTGTGCAACTGAGGCCACAGAGCCATGCCTCCAGACCTTTCTATGACACCACACTATTTCCTCATGTCTTTGGGCCTCAAGTTCCCCTCTGAATGGAAAGAGAGGGAGAACATCAGAATTATCACAGCAGTAACTGGGAGTGATCTGGACCAGAGCAAAGAGCAAGTGGCTTGTTCTGTGTGTGCACGTGTGTGTGTGCTGGAAAGTGGGCACACTAGAAACAGAACTAAGATGCTAATAACTGGGAGCAGTAGACACAAATCTGGAAGACTTTTGTCACACTTCTCTCGTATTGTCTTCTGCGACCTCCTCCCTCCCTAAACCCCTGCACGCATACGCATGCCAATCACTGCCAGTGCCGGAGCGCACTGCATTCTCTCCCTCCCTTCTGCTCCAGCAGCCCCTCTACCTAGACACCTCGGCCCTTACTCTTTCCCAGGAGCTCCTCCAGGCAGCTGTCCCCATTCCCTCCTGTGTGTCCCCAGAGCGCCTTTACTGCCCCACCAGACAATAAGCACTGTGCACAGGTGATTCCAACTCACCCCATAGGACCAGGGACCCCTAAGGCTCTGCCACCTGGGACTCTTATTTGTAAAATGTCTACTGACTCCTGGCCCACCCATACCAATAAGAAACCATGGGGTGCCCGGCCAGTGTGGCTCAGTGGCTGAGTATCAACCCATGCACCAAGAGGTCGCAGTTCGATTCCCAGTCAGGGCACATGCCCAGGTTGTGGGCCAGATCCCCAGTGGGGGCATGCAGGAGGTGGCCAGTCGATGTTCTCGCTCATTGATGTTTCTATCTCTTTCTCACTCTCCCTTCTTCTCTCTCGAAAATCAATAGAGGAAAAAAATTAGAAGAAAAACAAAACAAACCCACAGGTCCAGGTCTGGGAGCACTGGACCAGGAATCCAAAGATCTGAGCCCCTGGTCCTGGCCCCTCTGATCTCCCAGGGCCTGATCTGTCTACTTCAGTCACCTAGGACCTTGCAATTCGAATGCCTCTCAGGAAGTACTCAGAGAGGATACATATGGGAAATGGGGAACAGCAAAAGTTCTGTCTTGGATCTTTGCCCATAACCACTCTTTGCCCATAACCACTAATACCCTCTCCTCCTGGTCAAAGAGGCCACTCCTGCAAAGTATACCCCACTGGTAGGCCACAGCAAGGACTCTTTTGAGTGGACTGATCCTACATGACATGATACACCGTGCTCTTCAAAAATTGTGAAGAGATAGCCTAAGGCTCTTGTTCATTGGGTGGCACATCACGAAGACAGGGACAAAGTTAGTTTTCACTCAGCCCAACCACCTAGCAATGGAAACAGGCCCAAAGAGGGTACAGAATTCACCCAAGATCACAGAGCTTCTGTGTTATGTCCGTGGCCAGAAGTGCTGTGACTGAAGTGAGGGACAAAAGGGGCCAAGTCAGGTGTCCCTTAGTTTTAGTCTCCCTTTTCCACCCCAGTGTTCCAGTGACCCTGTCTCTCTAGAGCCAGCAAACAGGGATCTCTCTCAGGCAAACTCTACCACACAATGACACCTACCTCTTACCAAAGACAGAACCAATCCTGGCCACGCACAGGAGTAAAAGCTCTGACACACCTGAAATTCTACTGCCCAGCAAAGTAACAGAGCATGAAAGACTGGGGTCTCCTAATTCCAAATGCATGTGACAGAGAACACTTCACCCTCCAGAGCAGAGGGGACTCTCCAAGGCTTCTGCCTGTCCAATATCCATTTCCCCGCCTGGGGGAACCACCCTTGGGCCATGAAGTTCAGGTGGGACTGACTCTACTTTCTGGATCCTAGTTACCCAGGCCCAGCCAATGAGAACTAAACCTCAGACTTTCCCTGGAATCATGGGGAATAAATTATGTTGTTTCCTCCAGGCTACGCAGGAAGTGAAAGCCTGGAGCTGCTGGTGACTGGTGTGCCAAATCAGGGAAGGATCTGCCCAAGAATGAAGCCACCCAGTGAAATTCCAGTTCAGAGGCAGAATCCTGAGATTCACTAGCATTTGGGCCCCTGGATCCAGCCAGACCTGAAGGCCTGGGCTTCTCAGTCATGTGCACCAATACACAGCCTTTCTGCTTAGGTTGTGTTGTGTTGCCATGAGTCCCTTGACTAAAAGAGCTGTGACTTGTAAGAGGAGCAAGCAATGCCGGAAAACCGCTCCTGCTCCTTTCAAGCTGAAGGGACCAGGGACCAGTGCGGCATGCCTAGCGACTCTTAAGAGCCCAGGCCCGGGGAAGGCAGCACAGCTCTCAGGAAGGGAAAGGCTCCTTACCTGTGCTGGTTTGGCCATGGTCTCAGGTTCTGCAGCAGAACACACTGTGGAGAAGAAAGCGACCCCATGAGACTCCCTTGCACTCCGATCCCCTCCACTCTTTCCCCCAAATTTCCTCCCCCTTCCTCCCCCCAAGGGAGAATATGTTCCCTCTGCTTTTTTCCACCGCCTCCAGCCCTTCAGGTTAAATGATACCCCAAAACCTGGCTCGGGGCCAGGTGAATTTTCCAGAGGACAATGGATAGACTAGCTGGTGTCCAGATGCTCACACCCGGATGGGAAAGGGAACTGGAACCCAGGAGAGAAGTCACGACCACTGATCACCTGACTCCCAGGTCGGGCAGGACCCTTTGCCAGATACGGGCTCACTTAACCCTCACAGCAATCCTTCCCAGCATCACGGTCCCCTTCCTTAAGGAGGGGAAAACTGAAGATGGCAGTTGGGTGGGTCAGGAGGGTAAATAATTTGCATAAGGTCACACAGCTTAAAACTGATTTCCACAAAGTCCAGATTCCAGAGTCCACGCCATTCTGCACCATGGTCTCTTTCCAAGTCACCGAGAACAGTTCCGGAACCTAGACAGCTGAGCAGTCCACACATGAGAAGACTCGGGGCACCGGGGCACCTGTTGCAAGTATCTGAAAGGCTATGTTCCTGCATGAGCCCAGAAACACTTCCTCAGCATCCAGTCTGATCAGGCACCGCGCGAGCACTGAGTTTGAAACCCTGCTTTTCTGGAGCTTACTCTGTAACGGGGAAGGACACCAACGCATACGATAAAAACCAGGGAGAAAAGCCTGGCCTGGCGGCCCAGTTGGTTGGAGCATCATTCTGTACACCAAAAGGTCGGGGGTTCGATTCCCAGTTGGGGAACGTACAGGAGGCAAACATGGATGTTTGTCCTTCATATCGATATCTGTCTGTCTGTCTCTCCCTTTCTCTCTCTCTAAAATGAATAAGCATATCTATCCTTGGATGAAGATAAAAAAAAATTTAAAAACTAGGGAGAAAAGATAAAGCTTGGTCAGGAGACAGTGACAGTGGTCGGGGGTCTCCTGGGCCACGTGGACACCTGGGTGCAGTGCGGTCACGGAGCTCAGGGACTGGGACCGGGCACTCGAGGGTGTGGGGTCAGGGCCTGAGGCCACTGTAAAGACTGGAATTTTCTCTGATGAAACAGTCATGGAGGGGAGTGACTGAACAAACAGGACACACGATCTCATTGAAGATGTCAGACACAGGTTCTCTGCTAAAGGAGTGAGAAACCACAGCAAGAGTCAGTAATACTGTACCGACTGTGTACGCTGCCAGCTGGGTACTGGAAACGTCGGGGACCACTGTGTGAAGTCTGTGACTGTCTAACCACTATGCTGTACACCTGAAACCAATACAAACTAATACTGAATGTCAACTGTAACTGAAAAATTTAAAAAGAAACCAAAGTATCTTACCTCAAAAGAGATGAAAAAGGGGATGTAACTGGTTTGGAAAGGGGAAGAAAAGGGGCTGGGCTGGGCTAATGAGCACCCCCAGCACGAAGGCAAAGACTGAGATGAAGCAATCTTCTCAGCATAGAGGGGAGAGGAAGCCCAGAACTTTCCATTTCATGGACATTAGGTCTTTTTTCACCATGTCTATGAGTTGCCCTTCATTTTTATTTTTTTTAAATGTTTTCACTGATTTTTTTAAAGAGAAAGGAAGGGAGATAGAAATAGCGATTGGCTGCCTCCTGCACGTTCCCTACTGGGGATCTAGCCTGAAACCCAGGCATGTGCCATGACCGGGAATCGAACTGGGACCTCTCAGTCCATGGGAGGATGCTCAATCCACTGAGCTACACCGGCCAGGCTGCTTTTTTAAAGTTAATAACAACTCGCCCTGGTCGGTTTGGCTCAGCGGTTAGAGCGTCGGCCTGTGGCCCAGAGAGACCCGGGTTCGGTTCCCGCTAAGGGCGCGTACCCCGGTTGCAGTTTCTCCCCGGTCCTGGTTGGGTCGTGCAGGAGGCAGCCACTCAATGTGTCCCTTTCACGTCGATGTTTCTCTCTTTCTCTCTCTCCCTCCCACTCTATCTGAACAAAAAATGGAAAAGTGTCCTCAGGTGAGGATAGAAAATAAAAAAATAAAATAAAAGTTAATAACAACTCTATCAGACACATTCAGTAAGATCTTTGAGGAGCTGAGCTAGGAGAAGGAAGGACACCAAGGAGACGTTTCTGCTCAGAGCTTTCCAGTTCAGCACATCAACTCTCCTCCCCTCACCCTGCAAAACCCTTAGGTGAGAGCAGCCCTGACCTGTCCATAATCCTGCTCTCACTGTGGGGTCACTGGGGACAATGTGACAGTGTGGGACACAGCTTTTGGAGTCAGACAGACAGACCTGAATTCAAGTCCTTTTTGTCACTCACTAGCTATGTGACCTTCGGCATATTACTCATCTCTGAGTTCAAGGTTATCTCAAGTACAGAACTGGGGCTTGCCCAGCCTTTAGGGCTGTTGGAGGATGAGACAGCTTAGTCTCATCTTAGTCTCAAGAGCAGACACACGAGGCCAGGCAGAGATCCGTTTCCAGTAAACGGTGGCATTCGCTGCACTAGCTGGAAACTCTTTGAGGACCGATTTTGTCATGTTTGCCCATGGGTCCCCACTGCCTGAATACCAGTCCCCAAATGTCAGTCAGCAGACAGACATGAGGTGGGGTAGGGAGTGAGGAGCAGAGGACAGAGATGTGTCTGCAAACACTCTCCTGTTTCCCTGACAACCAGGGGCCCCTTGGTACAAATGTGCAGCTCTCACCAGGAAATGGAAACTGGCCAACACCAGCCCCCCCCTGAAAGGGAGGGAGGCCCTCATCTACCCCAGGGTCTGGCCAGAAGCCAGCTCTGGGTTTCCCCAGGGCTGGGGAGTGGGTGAAGGGACCCCAGGGCCAGCAGAGAAACGGGGACTTAGAGGTCCAGGATGCCTGCTGAGGCAGAGGGAGGGCTGAGGCCTGTCACCTGCACCTCCAGCCTCGAAGCATTTTCTTTTGGCCTTGTTGATGGAAACTTCAGCTACTGGCTGCAGCCCAGGCCCATCTGGATGGAGCCCTTTCCAAGAGAGCCGGCTCAGGAAGGGAAACACTCGGCTCTGAGAGCTGTTTGTGTGTGCCTCATGTGAGTACACGTCTTGTGTGTGCATGCAAAGCAAGCTTCTTCCAGAATCAGATGTTCAGATTGCAGTTCATGGAGGCCAATCTCCAACAGCCCCTCCTTCAAGGGCTCAGGGACACTCTGGAGCTAATCACAGAGGTGCGGCCTACTCTGGTTTACCCTGGCTTCACAAGAGGCTCTGAGTCTTCCCAGAGCAATCCAGACCATACTTCCCAATTGCCTGAATAAATGTTTTTATAGCCAGTGTTTCCCAGAGGGCCCCTTAACAATCCACTGCTCTGAGGCCCTCATTTTCTAGATGGGGTGAAGGCGTCTCAGGGAGACAAGGGGCTTGCCAAGACCCAGACCACAGCCAACATCTCCGCCTCCCAGCCCTAAGTCACAACAAGCACCCACACATCCCTGAGCCCTGGTTGCAATGGGACATTAGGAAGAGGTCATAAGAAGAGACCCAGGTTCTTATTCCCAATCTGTCTGTAACCTCAGACAAGCCTCTCTGGACCTCAGTTTCTTCAACTGTAAAATGGGGATATTATCACTCCCTCTTTGGGAAAATCCAGAGTGGCTTTTATAGATTTCAACCAGAAATCTCCACAGCAAAATCTCAGAACATCAGTGCCACGAAGATTCTCCTCCCCCAGGCCGCAGGATTTCTCTCTAGCACCCGTCTCATCATCTTGGTTGAAGCAGTTTCTCAAAACTGGCAGGGATGGCCCTCTAGACCTCTTCTGTCTGGCTGCCCGCAAGGGCACTCTGGCTCATCGTTCCAGAAGTCGTGTAAGGGTAGCCCGATGGCTTTGTGCTGCTCTGGCCGACCCCTGCCTTAGTCCTTTAAGTGCAAACAGTCATGTTTCCTTCTTTCCTCTTTGGGAGCTCAGGACTGACTCTAGACAGAATGCTCTGGGGTAGAGAACACACCAGAGCCTGTAGGACCTGTGGCTTGCTGCTGCCCCACCGCAGAGTTGGGGAAACTGACAGCTGGACGGGGGAAGGTCATGTCCAAGTCACGCAAAAGGCACGGGCTTTGAGGTCACATGTGGCTGTGAGTCATAGCTCTGCTCCCCCCACCAATTTGTGATTTAAGAAAGTTACCTAAACTGAACCTCAATTTCCACATCTGCAAAATGCATTTAAGTAACACTTCCACATACTGAGAAATAAATGAAACAATGAATGAACAGCTCTTAGCACAGTGCTGGGCACACAGCAAAAACAGACTAAATGGCGGCTTTCATTGTGACGAGCCCAAACAGAGACAAGGGAGGCAGCATGGCATCCTAAGAAAGAATGCAGGTTTTGCAGTCATGGCCTGAGTTCAAATGCTGACACTGCAAATTCCTAGTTCATGACCTTGGGTGAATTATGTGCACTTCTCTGACTCAGTTTCTTCATCTCTGAAATGACCATCTCATGAGACTTGTAAAAATTCAGTGAAGCGAGGCAGGTAAAATACTTGGCATGGACAGGTACAGATGAAATGTTTAGTAAGTGGTGGCTTCTGTTACCACAGTCGTCATTATTAGGGCAGCAGTCTCCATTTTTGATGTTTGTTACACATATATAAAGTTAAAGTTACATATTAGGGCTTCAGGCTGATGGAAGTTGACAATCAAGAGGGTGGAGTCAATGCAATGTGGCAGAGGGAAGAGGAGAGAAGGGGGTGTCAGGCAGAACAGAAACAGCATTTCTGTCCTCAAAACACGGCTTGTGGCTTTGGAGGAACAGAGTGCACTTTTAGGGAGGAGGACATGTTGAGTGTAAGGGTGTAAAACCAGGTGTGTGGGAGGGCAATTTGAGAAAAATCTAGAAATAACCTGGAAGATCATGCAAAAAAAAAAAATCACTGAAACGTCTGTGCTCCAGGAGTGGCCAAGGGACTCTACCTTGAGCTGTGTCA